ACATTGATTGTGAGGTCCGTGGGTGCTGCTTCGATGTTGGGTGGTTTAAGTGTAGCTGGTCGATTCAAGAGTTCTTTGAAGTGTTCTACCCACCTGGTGATTACCTCGTCTTCCTTGCTTTTCACTGGTCGTTCTGGTTTGCGGCGGTTTTCAGAGAGTTTCTTTGTCGTGTCATACAATTGTCTCATATTTCCTTCTCTTGCAGCCTTTTCCGCCGTCGTTGCTAAATCTTCCACATATTTACGTTTGTCGGTTCTGATGCTCCTCTTCCCCTGTTTGTTTACTTCTGTGTATTCAGCTTGTAAGCTATTGCTGAGGTCTATCTTGAATTTGTTGAGTTTGTCAGTATCCTGAAGAAAGGCCGTATTGAACTTTTGTGATATTGTCCGCCCCGTTGTCCAGTGCTTCTTGAGTTTCAATTTCATCTTGGTGACCAGCAAGTGATGATCTGATGCTATATCAGCTCCTCTCTTGGTTCTCACGTCCTCTATAGTCCTCCTGAACGTTTTGTTGATGCAAATATGGTCGATTTGGTTTTGTGTTGTGTGATCCAGTGAAGTCCATGTGCTTTTGTGAATGCGCTTATGTGAGAATATGGTGCCGTCCATGACCAGTTTATTGAAGGGACATAGGTTTGCAAATCTCTCACCATTTTCGTTTCTTTCTCCCAGTCCGTGTCGTCCCATGATGTCTTCATATCCAGTGTTGTCCGTTCCAACCTTGGCGTTGAAATCTCCCATCAGAATGGTCAGATCCTTTGTTGGGCACTTCTCGACGATTGACTGCAGCCTATTGTAGAATTGATCTTCAGCGTCTTCATTGTAATCGTTGGTAGGCGCATAGCATTGGATGATGTTCATTGAAATACCCTCTTTCTTTGTTTTGAAGGAGGCTTTGATGATCCTTGGTCCATGAGATTCCCATCCTATAAGTGCATTTTGTGCTTGTTTGGACAGCATCAATGCAACTCCTTGTGTATGTGGAGCATTTTCTTCTTCATGGCCGGAGTATAACAGGAGCTCTCCTGTAGTTAGTCGTTGTTGTCCAACTTGTGTCCAATGTGTTTCACTGATCCGAAGCACATCTAGGTTGTATCTTCTCATTTCTGCAGCAATTTGGAAGGCTCTCCCGGTGTCCCACATTGTACGGACATTCCATGTACCTGAATAAATGGTTGCTCTGGTTGTCAGAAGGGGCATCGGCCTCGTAACTTCCGAAGGAATTCGGCTTTCATCATGAGGCGTCATAATTCTTCTAAATGAAGACCTTCTGACTCCCAGGGCAGAGTTTAAAAGGTTTGAATAATTTTTTCTGGTTAGCGTTTTTTTAGCGAGTTAGTTTTCTACGGGATGCGGACGCTAACCCCGTGCACAACCCTCCTCCTTTATCCGGGCTTGGGACCGGCAGTAGCCACCGGAGGGACTCCAGGCAAAGTTTACTTCAATGGTAGTAATATAAAAAAGAATGATTGCATATAAGGGTATAGTACAAGAAGAAAGGATTAGTTGGCAGAAAGAAAGGTACAATGTAATTTAAATCTCACGGTTTAATGGAAGACAGAGTGAACACATGGAAGTGATAGCGACAACCACCGCATGGGCCAGTTAATGAAGGTCGATAAATTAATGAGCGTTGGTTTTCCTTTAACTTCAATTGGTTCAAACGGTTTTGGACGGAATAGAAGAAGCTTTCGCTTAACAGGCTTCCGTGTCTAGTAGCAGGGGATCACCAAATCCTCCAGGCAGGAACCTAGGTATGTTAACAATAAAATAAATTAGTAAATCATAGTGTGAAACTATCCTTAGTCCTTAAGAACAAATCAAGTTGCCTCTTAAAGGATTCCTGGGAATTCGCTTGGATTAGCTCGGCCGAAAGCGAATTCCAGCATTTGACAACTCTTAAGGAGTTGAAGTTGTGTCTACAGTCCGATAGTTTTCCTCGACTTAGCGAGTGTGAGAACATCACGCTAAACGGCGTTGCCAGTATGGCGAAATGGACAATGTCCGGGTCAGGAGAAGTGTCTAGTCTTAAGTTCTGAAGTTTCCGGAACACCAAGTCAGCGCTTAGGTTCACTCCGGAAAGTCCTGTGGAATTGCAAACGAAACTGCCATCAGTAAAGTTAATGTCGGTCGGTTGAAATGTCTGGGAGTAATGTTCAGCCAGAAGGTTAGCGGCGTCGCCATCGTTGTTGGTCGGGCCGTTAAGACCTACCAGTTGTGAAACTCCAGTTTCGGCTTGACGAAGAGAGGGTGCATAACGGAATAAGCTTTTAGGATTGGAGGCAAATTTTTCCATAAGCTTTGTCTGGTACTGAAGTCTATCTCCTCTTATAGCCTTCGTGCATATATTCCTGATATGTTTGTATTGCCTGTACGCTCCGTCATTGTCAGTTCGTTTGTATTCCGCCCAACAGTGCCTTTTGCGGCTTAGCAGGCGAAGGGCAGGGTTCTTGATTATTGTAGGTGGCTTGCAGCTTTTGGGAACTGTATGAGAAACTGAATGGTTTGTAGCACGTAAGAGCGTGTGCTTTAAGAAGTCCCAATGACCGTCCACATCGAGTTGAGGGTGAACATCCCAAAGCACCTGCTGTGGATAGTCGTGTAGAGCTGGCACATTCAACCGTTTAAAATTCCAACGCAAGTTATTGGTGGGATATCTTAGCTTAGTTTTACTGACAAAACTGAAGGCTATGACGGCATGATCGCTTTTTCTCAGAGGAGCCAGGATTAAGAGGTTGTCAACTAGAAATTCTTCGTTTGTGAATACACAGTCTAAGCGCGACGGTGTCTGACTGTTTCTCCAAAGAGTTGCCGACCTCACATTTTCGTATAATCACAAGTCATCGATGAGGTTGAAGAACCGAGCTTCAATTGAGTTGTCACCTCCAGTATACGTGTGTTCCGCGAAGTTGACTCTGGGGTGAATAAAGTCCCCTAGAATCAGGATGTATGTGAAACCGAGACGAGTAGAGCGGGATAGTCCTTCCAGCATATGACTATCGTACTCGATGTCGGCAGTTGGCTTCCAGTAAATGACTCCGACTAGACACCTCGAAGTACTGGACAATCTTACAGAGCACCAAGGATAATTGATTTGTTCGACGTTCAGTGACCCGATTTCCAAATGATCTGGCTAGGGCCCAGTGACATTTCACTGGCCCTACAGTCGTGTTCTGAAGAAAGTTGAATAAATCGAGAGAACTCTGTTACCATGAACAACACAGACCATACAGCTTCCGGTCCTTTCAAAAGCGAAACTAAGGCTGGAATAGAAAGTAATCAGTTGTTGCTAGTTCTACATATCTAAAAGTAAATCCGAAATTGTGACAAGAGGCAGGTGACTTCAAAAATATGGTATTCAGTTCAGGATATTGACGTATGACTAATCATGGTGACACTGGTAGGCACAAGCTACGTATATTTTTTGCCGGTATATTACAAAATTGTTGACGCGAGAGCGAATGAAGCGAGAAGGAGGTGCAATTTAAGCTGCATGTGTAGTTATTGGACAATAATCAATACAACATAGGAAACACTGCTGAAGAAAATCTAATACGACCTAAACAACATATCATGGTCAATAAAATTTCTTTACGAAATAAACGAAATTATGAGAACTCTAAATACCGACGAAAATACTATTTACAAATTAGGTTTTCATTAACTACACGATATTGAATATCTGGGGGTTTCAGGAAGGGTTACTCTTGTATAACCAACCTGCTGACTGCGGTGGACAGATGGACAAGCATCCTCGATCGCAAGGGAAAGGTTGATGTCATTTACCTTGATTTCTCAAAAGCTTTTGATAAGGTTAACCACTTGTGTCTTATCAACAAGCTCAAACGACTAGGTATCAAACCACCTCTAATCGACTGGCTTACTTCATACCTAAAAAATCGACACTTTAAGGTTAGGGTCAATTTCACTTTATCTCAAGCTATGGAATGTCCTAGTGGGGTCCCCCAGGGCTCAGTACTAGGGCCTCTTCTCTTCTTGATCTACATAAATGATCTTCCTCAACAGGTAACGTCAGACTTATTACTTTTTGCCGACGACGTGAAACTTTGGAGAGAGATACGCAACCAAGACGATATACAGGCACTTCAAGATGATCTGACTCGACTTCAAAGTTGGGCAGACGATAACGGACTTACCTTTAACACTTCTAAGTGTAAAGTAGTCCATCTGCGACATGTCGCAAACTACAGTTACAACTTAGGAAACACCTCTCTAGTAGTATCCCAAGTCGAAAAAGATTTAGGAGTCCTGGTGCCCCATGACTTAAAGTCTTACGCTAACTGTGACAAAAATGCCTTCCGAGCAAACCTTGCACTGGTAACGTTGAGGCGCATTTTTGGTCAGTTTGACGGAAGAACTTTCCACACAATCTTCAATAGTTTCATCCGTCCCCATTTAGAGTACGGAAACATAGTACTCCCCCCTCACTCCAAAAGGATAAGGTCACTTTGGAGCGTATCCAACGGCGAGCCACGAAATCAGTTCGAGGACTCAAATCTAAGCCTTACGAAGAACGCCTTCGTTCACTAGACCTTTACCCACTAGAATATAGGCGTCTTAGAGGTGATTTATTAATGGCTTATAGTATTCTTAACACTTCTGGACATCCTCTTAAACACCTACTTAAGCTTAGTTCGAACAATAACCTAAGGGGTAACACCCAGAAACTGGAAACACAACATAGCAAGACGGAATGTAGACACAACTTCTACTCCTTAAGAGTTGTCAAAAGCTGGAACTCGCTGTCGGCCGAGCTAGTCCAAGCGACTTCTCAGGAGTCCTTCAAGAGGCAACTTGACCTATTCTTAAGGACCAAGGACAGCATCGCACTATGATTTACCAATTTCTTTTCCTCTTTTATTGTTAACATACCTAGGTTCCTGCCTGGAGGATTTGGTGATCCCCTGCTACTAGACACGGAAGCCTGTTAAGCGAAAGCTTCTTCTATTCCGTCCACAACCATTTGAACCATTTGAACCATTTGGGGGAACGGTTTTTAAGCAACCTACGCTACTATGTATGTTAGTGAGATTTTTTTTGGGGACTTGCTGAATGCATTTATTTCAATGTCTTTAGGGTTGCTATGTTTAAGAATTTATCAAACGTTCAGTCTAGTTGTACTACTGTGGTATAAGTAAGGTTTCAAGGCGAATTTTATTATTTGCGAGCCTGGTCTTGGTGCATATCATACTAGCTAGTTTGAGTAGTAAACTGCTTTATTATTCACGTATTCGTATTTAGTTCAAAACTATGCTGGTCAGAACACACAAAGAGTAGAATGAGTAGCTTTATCAATTTCTATAGAATGGGACGCTGGGGATACGAACCTATCTTGTATTAAAGTTTAGTCTAAACCCCGCTTTTCTACAAACAATTGTCGGTATAGATATGGCAGAAACTAGTTCGAAAAAAAAATGTTGACGTACGTAATTCTGAATAAGGCAGATATAGCAATATTGCTTCATCATTATATATTGTCTCACGACTGTGTCTGAAAATTCGATTTCATTCCTTTAGGTATTTCTGTCGAGTTCAATCTGTCAACAACTGACTAGATAGATATCTCTACTGTTTACAAAGTTATTTTGCCCCGGCTTCACGAAACTGTGTGACTAGTTTTTAGGTGGAAGATAAGAATTCGGTGAGCAATTATTTTTCGAAAATATCGGCTGTGGTTGCACAGCAGATGGAATGCTTCTGCATCTCTATATGAGGGGTCACCGATGTGGCGTGTGCACTACATAACTTCGCGGACAGGTCTATCAAGGAGATTACTCGAGGCGAACTCTGATAAATTTTGTTTCTTCTAAAGCTAGAAGTTTGATAGGTTATATTTCATAAGGTGGTCACTTGGGACGTTTCCAATCATTTTTGTTTCGGGAATTCAGGTTTCCGTTCCATCGTATGAAGGATTGTATCTGCGGTTGATGGTTTGAAGTAGGACACTATCGTTTGTTTTTGTCCATTGGTTTGCAAATTGTTTGATTAGCACACTCGGTCTAGCGGTACTGATTAGTTTGGCTTCTTACCTTACCATTCTGTCCATCCTGTAAGATACCAAAGTGTTTGAGCCTATATAAGCACTCAGAATTGACAAGGGAGTTATATAGTCGAGAAAAAAATCAGAGATGGGCTCGTTATTTTCTCGGAAGTTAGTTGTTTCACTTCTCTAAGTCGTACTAGGTTATATGGTCCCTTGGAACAGAGATAAGTCTGTCAATGTGACTTTTTTCGTGTTTAGACCTTGATCACTATGTAGGTGTCTGACAGTATATTACTATATGAGCTTCTGTTCATACCTAGACAGTGCATAAAACCCACTACATTTTATGAATATTACTGTTAATGACACTAACACTTCTATTGCCATAGTATTCAGTGTCAGTCAGCTACAACGTAGAACCAGGCATATATATTCATCGGTACAAGTTGCCATACCTCATTAGCACAACAAGATGAACAACGAATTCATAGAGGTAGTTAATTCAGTGGTGATAATATATAAAAGAAAGATTGCATATAAAGATATAGTACAGGGAGAAAGGATTAGTTGGTAGAAAGAAAGATATAAAGCAATCTTAACCTCATAGTGTAAGGGAAGACAGAGAGTGCATACACCTACGCCATTGTGACCGATTCAGAGCCATGTCACCCAGAGTCTCCAATCATTGGTTACGATAGTCACGCGGACCCCAACCAAGTAGTCTGCATCTACCAACATGGCTAAGACTAGAAGTTAGTGACTTCAAGCACTGATGTCACGTTTAGGTTTGACCGTCCCTAACTTTCTTTCAACCATCCCCAACACTAGTCAGCATTACGCGTGGTAGTAATCGGTGTTCAGGCATACGTAACACGTGGCCCAACCATCTCAGTCTATGAAGATTTACAACCTCACCAACTGATTTACCATCATTCCTTAATACCCTGCATGTAACCTCACCATTACTTACCCGGTGATCCCAGCAGATGCGAGCAATATCTCTAAGACAACTGTGACCGAATACTAGTAACTTACGAGTATCCTTAACGGTCAAGTTTCCCAGCTGTGAATTATATTCATCTCTTAATTGACCGATGGAGATCTCGTCTTCTTCATAGATGACGTAAGTTGGCAAAAGCCAAACGATTCCATGCAGAGATTTTGTCAGACACCAACCCATTAGGGTTGATTGGACTTCAAAGATAAGTGAAGTTGTCGATGCGTTCAACTACTTCACCCCCTATCCTTAGTTCAGGTATTGACACAGGCCAGTCCTGAAGCAACAACGTGCATTTAGAGGGGAAAAGCGCAACCCAAACATCCTGGCATTGTTGCTCAGTCCTACCAAAAGACTTTGCATTTTATTAGCGTCTTCACCAAACACAACTATTTCATCTGCGTATTCTAAGTCGATAAGTGGACCTCCCGGTAGGAGATCAATGCCTGAAAATTCAATCGACGAGAGCGTTATTTCCATCAGTAGGTCTATGATGAAGTTAAATAAAAATGGAGAAAGTGGACTGCCCTGCTGGACACCATTTGAGGCTGCAAAATCAGATGACAGTTCGTCATAAGCTCTGACTCGACTATTGGTGTTCGAGTAAAGAGCCTTCACAAGGTTTATGTACTTCTGAGGCACACCTTTTAATGACAGACACTGCCACAGGACCTCTCGGTCTACAGAGTCAAATGCTGCTTTTAGGTCAAGAAACACTATAATTGTCGGACGCCGATAAGCATGCCTGTGTTCTAAAACCTGGCGAATAGTGAATATGTGGTCGATGCAGCCACAACCAGGTCTGAAGCCAGCCTGATTTTCTCGTGTTTGCAGTTCACGAGTCTTAGTTAGGTGTCCGATAATTATTGAGGCTAGTATTTTAGATGCTATGTTAATCAAACTAATCCCTCTATGGTTATCACAGGATGATTTTGACTCCTTTTTATATATTGGGACAATCAGTGATTGTGACCAATAAGATGGGATTACGTCCAACTCCCAGATTTTAGCTAAAATATTAGTCAACCTAATCGCTAAAATTGGACCACCATCCTTAAAGACCTCTGTAGCCAATCCACCTGGACCAGCTTCTCTTCTTCGTTTCAGATTATCTATAGCCTTTTGAACTTCAACTAGAGTCGGGGGACCTACTTCAATGTTCCATTCAGGCTGTCTGGAAATGGTGGGTAGTTGTAGAGTAGCTGGAGGCCAGCTGAACTGCTCCTTAAAATGTTCCGCCCATCATTCTAAACGTCTGGACTGCGAGCAGATAAGAGTGTCGTCTTTTTCCGAGATAGTCTCACTTACACTTGACTTATTAATCTTAGTTTCTTTTATTAGTCTGTAGAGCTGTTTTGTATTACCTACAGCCGCCACCTTTTCCATCTCTATGTGCTTTCGTTGCCCACCACCGCTGACGGTCGTTCCTTAGACTGTTGGTTAACCAAGATCTGATCTGCTTTCGCTCTTCATCGTGTTCAGATCCTGATGGGATGAGTTTACGAGAATCCATTAGTGCAATAGACTTAGAAGAAATCGATTGGTGTTTTGTAACCCTTTGGCTTAAATCACTGATAGATGTCACTGCTGTTTGTATATCTTTCCAAGCAACGTCTGGGTCAGCCTCGTTTTCAAAACTACCTAAGTGTGACCTCAGTTGTTCCTGGGATCTACTTTCTGCTTTTTCGTCACTCAGTTCAATTCTAATGGGTCTTCTTAATGTGGATTTTCTGCATCCAGTGAGGCTCAAACAAATGCGTGCCCGTATTAGAGCATTATTAGAGTCCAAGCAGGTATTCCAGAACGAGCGTGAGTCTTCTATCGAGCCTCTACAACGATGACTGATGGAAATGTGGTTCACCACGTCAAGGTAGCAGCAACGGTCTGGACTATTAAGATACTAACTACTATTAAACTAGTTTCACAAAACAGAACTAATGTTTTAGGGATATGCTTTCTTCGTGGATATAGGGACTGTGATTTCGTTACTAGGACACACAAGAGCTGTTAAAAGCATTACAGACTAAGAATATTACTTGAAGGATATTTATATTGATTCCTGAAAAACGTGTTGACGTTTATTAGGTTGTGGAAAGTATATCAAGTAGTGGTTACATAGAAATGTCACCATTATAAACTGAAGACGATGTTAGATAGGGTCATCAGTTTTATTTTTTCTACTCAACTTCGCCACTGAAAGCATTCTGTCTACGGGACGTTGGACGAAAATTTCAAAGGTGCAGTCTCGTTTTACAATTGATGCTTTAAAAAAGTGGAGAGCATATACTTTACACCAGTTTCAGTCACCCAAACTAAACGGTAACAAATCAGAAATTTGCGATATGATTAGACATAACTTGGAATAATCTAAATCTACATCATACAATAGTTCCTACATGTATTTTTATTGAACAATAAGCAGTGAAATTCTATATGGCTTATACTTATGGACTTGGTAACTAGTCAATTGTTAATCATGGACAGTGAAGGATTAGGCACAAATCTGTACCCAATAATGAAAATTCGTATTCGTTCTTTTTACTAAGTTTGCATCTGTTTGAAGTGCCACACTTTGCCCTCTTCATATTTTCTAGGAATTTAATACTTTCATTTTAGAATGTCAGGTCAAAGTAATAGAAACTAAGTGCAGAAAAATTCTTACTTTCTTCAGTCCATGGAAATCTCCTTTAATTTGACCAACAACTTACTTTATCTAAATACTTAGGGATAAGCTCAGCAATCAGCTGAGAACACGCTGGAGTCAATTCTGACGGCTTAAGAAGAACACTATTCCCAGCAGCAATTGCACCAATTAGAGGCTGAAATGATAAAATGAAGGGGAAGTTCCAAGGGCTTATTATTAAAACCACACCGTATGGCTGCTTTTGAATAGTTACTGTATCCATTAACGTGATGAATGACGATGGAACCTGGATAATTCATTACCTTCATAACATTTGTTTTGCGCACTATAATCGTTGGCTATGGTGACACTTAAGGAGGAAGCCAAAAGATGAAGTATAGAGTTGATAGTTGAGGTAGAAGTAATTATGGAAACTGGAGAAGGAAAATTGATTATGAATACGACGGTCTTGATCGCTGTTAGAGGTATGAGGACGGTTATCACTTCCCGGTTGCCCAAACCGTGGAAGGGTTCTTCTAGAGGTACCTGCAAATGAAATCGGGTTGGAGTTGATCTTAGTGACATGAAAGCGTGACCGCAGTGCCCAGGGGACAACTGCTTGAGGCGAGTCACACACGACCTTTTTGTGGGTAATTTTCTTGTTAGCTCTGTACTTGTTGAGACCTCACCGCCGGAGACGGATATCCGTGGGACAAGGCGATGTGTGCATTTTTAGGGTGAACGTTTTCTAACCCCATCCCTCTTTGTGGGAAGGCAGCATCGCTTTTATGCTGGTTGTCTGAAGGGAGCACCTTACTGCCGTCACACCTCTGTACAGTCGGCAGTACGACTTCGCCTTCAGATCTTGGGTATATTGCTTTTAGTTTTACCGCTTCTCAACTGACCTGTTTGGCATGGTAGGACCTTGAGGAACGATTGTTCCAGCCAGTATAGCTCGATTAGTTCATCACGATAGGCAAGCTCGACCACCACGTCAAGGTAGCATCAACGGTCGTCAGTGCCGTAGTATTCACATTGGTGGTTTCATCTCTTGTTGATGTGGTGTGGCAGCTTGAATCGACGGAAATATGTATTAGGTCTCACGTTGCTTGCAACTGACTGACATTTTTCTGGTTGGTCATTATGTTTTCAAAACTCCTGCCTTATTTTTTTTATCGAAAACCGCTGAAGAACTAAAATATATGCGTTTCATTTGCACTAATAGTTGTATCGGATATTAACTGATCAATAGTAAAATAGTAACATACTCTAAATGTCTTTCGTTGATTAGTATCTTGGGAACGGTGTTGTAAATATTGGCAGATCTACTGATCTGGTTGTGATTACCAATTCTAATCAACCGCATCGACTATGCGTGTTCATATGTTTGTTCATCAAGCCTCCTTACTGGAGTGGTCGGTTTATATACGATGGTACCCAAGACAGTTTCTTTTTTAGCTCATTCACCAAGTATGAGCCATACTCAGTGTGAGGGTTTGTGATGCTACGCGGTTGCCCAAACTGAAGTAGGTAAAGCCGATTTCAAACCAGGAACTTAGAAGTGGAAAGTCGAGCCCGTGGATCGCGAAGCCATCTCTCAAAACAGTTACCATGTTATTAATAAATGTAGTAGCAAGTACTGAGAAGTTATAAACTCATTGTCTCTTATATTTGTATCTGTCCTAGTATACCAGTTAATCTTCACATACAAGTATTCATCTGCGAAAAATTTGAAGGAATTTATTCGACAATCGCTTTGATATCAATCATGCATCAGCTTGCTAACGGGTGTACCTGTTTTTAAATGCCATCAAGAATGCGTAACTGAATAGTCTATACATACTCGGTTCTAAAGTAGGATCTTTGAGCACATTTCTGATGCTAAACAGATTTTATATTTATTTCAGCAGTTAACGTTGTACTAAGTTGTAGATAGATTCGTTATGAAAGTAACATCCAACAGAAGTTTGGAAAAGGCTAATGAATATCTTCGGTATTGGACAGACTAGTGGTTGGATGAAGACCCATATTTGCAGTCTTCAAGCATAAGGAGGAAGCTTGTTGACCAAATTTCTACTATGACCACTAGCGATACTTCTGTTAAGTGTAAGTAATGGAAAATATGTGGATTATCGACAAAACTAACCGGTTAGTATTAAACTGTCGCTGTAAAAGCGATGGATATGTTAGAACAGCTATCTTAGGGATAAATCGCCTCTCAGTTGCAATCTAAATAACATATTAACATCCACGTACTAACTTTGACTGGAGTAAAAATGACTATAATAATGACAAAATGGCACAATATACAATAAAGGAAACTAGCCTATTCGATCATTACACTTTCCTTTTTCGGATTCACTTTTTAAAACTCAATTTATTTTTAGGCATTGTCAGCCTTTGAACTACATTAAATATGCTTCTCCAGAAGCTTGGTACTTTAACTGGTGTTATCTCCCGTATAATTCGCTACGTGATAATGTTGGGTGCTCCGATGTGAGCTCGAAAATATGGTTTTAGAAGGTAAAGGGATATTATCGTAGTTTCATTTGCGAGTGTGATATCCTGAATTGCTAAACATACCGTACGAATTAAAGTTGTTTACAACTATGGAGAGTTGGATCTGAAATCGTCCCTACTACCCTTTCAGTGTAATATTGTCTTAAGCAATATGTACATAAATTTGATGGGCATGTTATAAAATTGCTATTCAGCTAGTTTCACGCACGGAAAAAGAAATCTGTTGCGCAAACAATAATGTATCATAATTGCGTGATTAATCATGATCGTAAGACTATTTATATCAACATTTCTGGAAGTCTCTTTAGCAAACTAAACTTTCAAAGTATTTTATGTCGTATCATGTTATTCTTACCAGATAATTTTGCTACAACGATCCATAAGTGCAACTGATGCAAGTGTAATCAAACCGTAATTATGGGACATATTACTGAGTCTTTTTTTGCTGTACGACTGGTGTGAAAGTAGCAATTAAACAATCTGGCATTACTAAATATATCTTCCTGCTCCTAAAAACTATTTTTACATCTCAACTCAATATAATGTTCAAGCACCTTAGTGTCCAAAATTATCTAGCTCTGACCTAATAGTCTAGATATTCAGCTAACAGATTATTGTTCAGATCCTACATCTTTCTGGTTTGCTAAGTAAAGTAACTGCCCTTCAGTGCAGTGAGCGATCGTATATATAGTTAGCCCAGTAATAGTTGGTACTTTGTTGTGGTAATCAGGGTTGACTATCGTGACGAATCAGTCGGGCTACGCCCCTAAATGCCCTAGTACGGCCGAGAGTGGGGAGTCAGCTCTTCCTCTCGAAATGTTCTCACATGGCTACGCGTATACAACCACTGCCAGGGAAGTCCTACTCACTGCCTTTTCATGAAGTGGGTGTTGTTTACGAAACTGAGAGGACGAAAAGCGAATGTCTGGCGCTTTAATCGGGTTGGTGGGTATGGAGAGTCCACCTAGGGGAATTGAAAAACCCTGATTCCAAACAAATGGTGCCTATGGGCTCCAGGATCCAAAGAGAACAAGTGGTGTTAATCACCGACTACCATGGGACTGCATCTCCTAATGTTGCCCCACTGTCTTGTGGATTAATCCTGTAGGTCAAAGGCTCGGGGAGCGAGGCCTGAAGGAAACTATCTGCTTTGTTTTTGGCTCTCGGGAAGTATTTCAGACATAGTACAAGTCGAATGACCTGTGGCGCATATATATTTGGCGCCTTCTTGTACCAATGTGTTTAAGTAGATGGTTTAAAGTAAGCACTGTGTTTACTACTAGATTAGGAAATATGTGACAGCTGCTGTTTTACTTGAGATTGCCCAAAAGCATTTATCAACAACGAGGTTTCATGTGTTATATAGCTTGAGTTGAAACGGCTTTCCGTTTATTTAGTGATGGATATGGAACTCAATTCATTGACTTAAACACATCTTTTTATATTTCATTTGACTGTTTTCTCATAAGTAGCAAAGTAGTGAACTTATAGGATCAGGTAATATATGTAATATTCGTCAGGTTAGTTTTTCAGCTGTTCATTAAGTCTACGCGGTTTTAAATATTTCGAGCACTGTTCAAAACCTATCACGATGGCCTGTTTTCAGATGAAGGTTTTGCACGAATTCAGGAAGGTTGATTGGCCTTTGCTAACTTGCATCACTCGCACCGTAGGTTAGACGTCCGTTTATCAACCAAAGGACGGGTTGCATTTCGCTCTGTCCAACTTTATGTGTGTGTAGCGCAACCACTAAGGATCGAGGATATTCGTAGACTACTAGTATTTGCCCATATATGCCTCCAAAGCACCCCTCGTGTATTTTAAAAATGCCTGGTTTAGGATACTGGGTTAAATATAGCAAATCGATTGATCCTGTAGTCTCCGTCAACTGAGGTGGCCGGGACGTGTATTACATATGCTTACCTTGACGGGGGATGTCTAGTGTAGGGGTAGGTTGGAAGAAAGCTAGGAGCATCCAAAACAAGACATAGCACCAATCTATGAAGTTAGTTGTACTGGGCCATGTTAATAGCTGTAGGCTACCGGGCTGGGTGCAAAGTGTTTACCACAATTAATGGTTAGAGACTGAATGACAATTCTAGGAATCGTTTGCAATGCTACATTTACATTCGCTCCTTGTTTTTAGGACCTGAGTCCTGAAATCTTATTACTATTTTTCTTTTCCTATGCTTAGTCTTTTCTGTCGATGCTGATACTGTTACTACTTCTACTACTCTCGAATTTACTTTGATACGATTTGATCCCATCGTGCTGATGTGGCAAGGTAGCTTAAAACTATGCACATGTGTCAGCTTCTACGTTGTATATGACTCACTGACTCGAAAATTTAGTTCTAAACGTTTTTTCAACTAGAGAAAATGAATGTTCAAACTCAAGACTTGACAGTAATTGAAGTAAATGAGTAGTAGCCTTAGTTGTTTGAACGAAAATAATCTGGTAGCTGGATTTTGAGCTATCAGCATGACAACTGCTTAAAGGTATTTGGTAACAGTTTTAAGTGTATAATGGTATCGTAAATACGCTTACAAGTAAACAAACCCCAAGTAACCTACTTTTCTGTTCTTTCATATCTATTGCTTTACGCCAGTCAGTCAGTAAGGTATATGCAACCTAGAATCTGACACTTGTGCCGTATGGCTGTATCGGTTTTTTTTTTTAAAATTCGCTGCATGTAATTTTGTTATTTTAATATATTCCTGTACATATTTGTATATTTACATGTTTAGGTACTGTATTAAAATGAACTGATGCGGTTAACTGGCTTTCAGATGCCCCTATCACTACTACCACCAGTATATCCATCAAAATCACGAGACTCCTTAAACTTAAGTACAGAAATTCATCAGCCTCCTAAATCAGGAGAAAAGATTAGTAGTGCTGCTAGTGAAGCTGCTTTACATAGATGCAGATTATATGAATTGCGCCAGACGTTCTTGGGGATCTCTACTTCAAAAGACCCTTGTCCGCATTGTCAGACAGGAATCTCTACGTGTACATATGTGAGCACAGATAATCACTCTTTTTATACCAGCCCCGTGGGTAGTTTAGGGTGCACTGTTTTAAATTCAGCAAGGTTTGACCGTGGTCCTTCCATTTATGTAAGTACCCCTGATATTGATTGTCTTTCTTCTGCCACTGAATCAGACAAACTTCGTGAATCTGTAAATACGTACCATAAAACTACTCAGAAGCAGCCTTCACTAAGCTATTATCCTAATGTTGAATACGATCAACTTGATACGGCTGATCAACTTCCAAGTCCTAATTATTCATCCTTTATTTATTCAAATCCTCTTACATCATGTGAAAAATATGCGTCTATAGAATCTTCATTGTCTGGGAAATTTACAGCAAAGCCCAGTTTATTTATCAGTGAGGCTGGGTTTTGTCCTTTAACTCCAGAAGCCGTTCATTTATCCTCAAACGAGTTCGCAGAAAGTTCTAGTCCCTCAAATTCGGACTGTTCTCATGAATATTTTGCATCCAATGAGAATCTAAACTGTCCGAAGTCCAAAATTAATATTACTAGTTTGAAAGATGTAACATGGTTATCTGAACAGTGTAAAAAGAGTGAGGATATCCAAAGTTTTTCGCATCGATTTAATAGCAAAAGTTCGGAACCAAGGCACCGGTTTAATAAAGGTAAAGGTGCATGTGATCAATTGAACCCAAATTTACATCATTCAACAACTAGTTGTTTACCTATGTCAAACCCTTCAACTAAAGACACAAGAAAGTCAGACCGGGTTAACAGTTATAATTTTAAGACTATCCAATCACATGGTTTACATAGAGATGATACAAGTGATTGTTCTGTGTCTATAGATAGAATAAATAAATACGATTTTCCTTACAAAAAGAAATATGCATCTATTTTGCCTGCTAATCTCGAGCTTAGCACAACACATTCACATTGTGATGACTCACAGCTTCGTTCATCAACTAAGTCTGTGATTGGTCGCTGTTTTTCGGTCTCACCCAACCATCGGTTGTCACACTCATTATCTGTTTCTCGGGCCAATCAAAGTAATGCAAGGGTTGATATGAGTGAAAAAGTTTGCACAATGGATAACTCAAACAGCTTCACAAACGGACGTATTTTTAACAAATGTTCTTATGATGATACACAAAATCATATAACATCGTCAAACCAACCTTCATCGTGTTCTTCAGTGCCCTATAAGACAGATCAGAAAAGAAAAAGTTCTGAATCACTTTCTTTGAGCGATACTCAAGATATAATGTATTTATATTCATATGGACATAATAATAGTGGTAAATACAGGAAACAAACAAGTGGACAAAGTAATCAACCGAAAAGCAATTACAATCAGATGCGTGTCGACTCTATACTAGAAAAGCAAGACATATCGAAAAAATGTACTAAGCCAGTGTCAAGAATTACTGCGGAATGCGACGTCTTTCAGCGGAGTCTTGAACCTAAAAATATCCCCGCAGAACAATCTAGATCGCATAGAAACCAGAATAAAACCTCTTTAGAGAATAGTAATATGATTAGTGTTTCAAATCAAAGCAGACAATTAGCTTTGGCACAGGCACATGCATTAAAATGTACTGACGAAGATGTGATTTCTTTTGGAACTAGTTTATCATCATTGCCATCCTCAGCGTTATCGTCTTTTTGTCCAGGTGACACTTCTCTGCTTACTGCTCATTCTCGTAACATTGGTCGCTTGAAAGTGACTCTACCTGGTCTTGCAGTCAATCATTTGTCTAATAGTCATCACTCATCCGACTGTTCAACGCGTGGTTCAATATCTTATCAGTCTAATAGTAATCATAATCCAAAGTCACAAAACCCAAATTTTAGAGGTACTGTCACAGGAGATGTTTGTAAGCGACGCCATGGGAGATTGAATACTGAATCCTCTAAAAGTTGTAAAAACAGAATAGAGATATCTGAAAGCTCTTCTAGTCAATCGCTTTCTCCATCGTATGCCAATGTATTACTTCCTGCTCAGTCATTTGATTTGTCATCGGGATTTCCTTCTTCAGATAATCTGTCTACTAATAGGAATTTGGTAAGTTGAATTGATAAACAGTATAAATAATGACAAATTGTTATAAAAAATCGGAAACGATTTCAGTATAAATCAGTTGTGAATAAATGTTATCTCACCACGTTTAAGCAAACTCACCATATGAAAACTCTCTAAAAATTAAAAGGGAAAAGCCAATAAAGCTTAGTGATGTATGGTAATTCAGTGAATATTAACTTTCATAAAAGATTAACTTTTTTCATTATCATGAACGCTAGTTTTAGATGACACAACACTTTCCACGATACAACCATAGTTTTAAAAAAAAATGTATTATTGTTACTGCGATAACTAATGACAACATTGGTGGTTTATTTCATTTTCTGTTTCATATGAACTTTAGCTGTCTGTTCGGTATCACGTACATAGAAACATGATACTGGATACTAAGAATATAAAATATTAGAATGTTCTAAGTTTTGGAAATATTCTGCATAAATTGGTTAATCAACATTCAACAGTATTATCTGTTCTTATAACTATGTCAGCCAGTTTTTCATGTCTTGTTTTTCAGAATTCTTATTCTACAAACGTAAAATAATCTGAATGAACATATTCTTTACTACATGTTCGAGTTTTCGGAAAATTGTCTATATTTAAACTTTTTAATTCGTGACAAAAAATCAGTGAAAAAAATAATGAAACGTCTGGGAATTTTAAAAGTCAAGCAGAATTAGTCTGGAAGCATTGTATAGTGCCCTTTAGGAAATATTTCTATCTGAAGTAACTGCATATCATTAAATCCCTCAGTGTTTATTAGTTCATTTATGTATGTTCATGAGTAATTGTCGGGGAAGGACTTATTAATGTAGGTGTTATTAGTTCAATCTAATGATTAGGATCTTTTACAATTTCAACGTTAATCTCTGTAAACCCTAGTGATATTAACAAACTAGAAATTGTAGTTGATGTAAACAAATACGTGTTCATCATAAGCTACTAAAAATTAGTTTTGGTGATTATAACTGTTCTGAGCGGTATTGATTGTATATGGACGTCTGTTTTTAGTTCTGGATACTAAATCTCGATGTTTCAACAAACTTTTAAGGTACTCAGTAAACGTTCTTTTTGTGACAGTCACTATAGTTACACTACTAGTGTGGTGTATGCTACTTATGTCTGTCGACGTAAATAGTATGTAACATCAATCAGAAGTGGAATGCCTGGCAGTAGAAGGTTGAGATCGAATTGAAGAGGACGGGGATGTAAACAGAAAGTAATTGTAACAGCGATTAAGGAACGATGATGTTTGAGACAATTGATGGAAGAATTGCAAATGAAGTATTTGATGCATGGGTTTTCACATTTTACGAAAGAACTCTGTACCTGTGCATTAAACAATAAATTGGTCTTCCCCACCAAGTCTTCGTTCATTTCACTAGTATCTAATTAAGGTTGTTAATTTACAAAATACATTTTTTCTTGGGATCTAACAGTATTCAAAAGTTATGGAAGCTTTGAAAAGTAGCTTTGTTTAATCAGTACATTTAAGCTCTATTACCGTTTCAGTGTTTTTTTTATATATTCTGCATATAATTTTTCATAATAAATGAGACCCATTAGTTAAGATGCTGTTTTCAACCAATAATTCCCATGTTAAAAACCACTATCTTCGTTTTGAGTAGTGAAGTATTTTCAGCAAGTTCCATTCAATTGATATGAATCCAAATTAAGATGACCTGCACACGAAGTACAGGTTTGTATATTCTACTTTTTGCCAAATCTTTTATCTCGGGGTTGTTAATACTGCTCGACTTCTCAAACTGAAGTAGATGAAGTGAAGTCTAAATATGTGAGTTCATGACTTAAAGGTAAATACTTTAACGAGTATAAATTGTCTTCAAACTCTAAAGCTAATAGATGAATTTTTTCTAAGTTGATTGGTCGCATTTGTTTACCTGAATTGTATAATCTTTCCAGTAGTATCTTAGTATTTATTTGTTTAATGGTCTGTAAGTGACAGTCTCAAAATAAACTATGCTCACGACAATGTGAACACCTAACTGACAATCATTCAGCAACTTTCAATAATTAGTGACTGGATCAGCACTTGGTTATGGGATTGCATTGTTCGTTACTTTTTTATATCGTTGTGGCGTTTTCATCTTGCATGTACAAACATCTTGTTACGCACCAGATTAAATCTAGTTCCACTGGTCTCCTGCTAATTTCGCTCAAAACTAACATGTTAGCAGTTTTCACTTTTTGCTAAGTTTTTTTTCACATTACGTCTTCTAAGCCGAAGTTGGTAAGATCGTAACCTTATCTCTAATCTAGATGCTTATACGCTTTCTCAAGTCAGGCCTGTAATAGTGTTAGGCTAAACCACATGTTGCTAAGCTATTCATATATATGGAGATAAGAGAGTTTGAATTCAAGCTCAAGTAAATTTTAAATGTATCTCGATAACTTGGTAACGTCTTAAACATACAAAATACATGTATACTATGATATTCTTTTAGTAATTATCTATGTATTTCGTTTTGTTTTCCGCAGGAAAATTTATTAAGTAATCTGATTGCACAAATCTCATGTTTAGTAATTGTATATTGAAGTGTTCATATTTCCCACCATCATCATAACCATAACTTCGTCATTTTTAGGATACCATTAATAAGCGCTCACCACGACCTTCATCAGACCATTCAAGAACCTATAAAAAAACTCAGGATTCGGAGAGAAAAAGTATGTGTAAAAGTAATTCTCGACATAATTTCAAGCCTGTAAATAAGGAATCTCAAATCCACAATCTCGTTCCTTCAAAAGTCTGTCGTGTTGGTCAATACATATCTGGGTCTTCTTCACTATTATCTGTAAGTAATCCGGATGACATAAATGATCCTGAAAAGTCTCCTGTATATGTAAGTAAGGATACACGAGAATATGACTATATTAGAAAAGACCATAGAAAAATCTCAAAGTTGGCTGCAAAAATATCTCATTATCTGGAAAATGGTAGGGAGGCAGAGGTTAAAAACTTTGTGAATAAAATACTACGTAAACCCGAATCAAGGCGCGTTGTTGATGAATTGATACGTTTATGTGGAAATAATCTTCACAAAGTTCTCAATCTTAATGTAAGTTCTTGCAACTATCTAGTTTTTTTAAAATAATTTTTCTTTCTAAAGTCAACTTATTGGGTACAACTGTCCTATCACACTGAAAGATATTTTTAACTTGTTGACCTAAATTTTGCTAAATATATTGACTAATTACCAAGTGTTACCTTACAGTTTAGATTCCCTGACTTTAAATCTCGAAATCTCCCGAATAGGTTGGTAACTTTAATATTTGCCATAATTTTTCCGATTACTGGGGAATTCTTATATGCAGTCTATTCTTGACGTATCGGTGCTGAAAAATATAGAAAGAAATAACGTTTCACATCACATATAGTTGGATGGAAGTCGATAAAATTGTGCTACACTGTTGTCTATACTATTGACGTTCATTGAGACATTACCTGACGCATTCGGGTGGAACGGTGGTATTTAAATTATATTAAATATTAGGCTCTTGGATCTGTGGGCTATCACTACGTGTCATATATCATTTTAGTACTCCATGAACATTACGCTTTTAAAATGGCTTATCTTGTATGAATATTCCACAGGCTATTAAACTTTGCGTTTTTCTATAACGTTTTATGCGTTGAGGACAAACGAATTTGGTATCTCTGTGAAAGTAATCTATAAAATGTGAATCGTTCATCTGTTACGTAAATTAATAAATATTAATCTCTACGCCAGTTTCATCTTTGAGTTTGATAACACTTTAAGAAATCAAGTGAGCCTTTTGTACTAGTATTTCCAACTATCCAACATTCAATATGGCTCATTGCAACTTATAATTAGTCCAGCGACCACTGTACGTTCATATCCAATAGAATTAGATCAGCTGTGAGGGTAAGGCAAAGTAGTAGTAATTACAATTCACTAATTGGTTAGTGGAGTTTCGGAATAGTTTAATGACTTACTATATATAATGCCGATTTATTTTGATTCACTTTAGAAAATGGAGACACTGGAGAATTTGCAGAAAAATTCAACTCCTTTGATTCACCTTGGAGCTTCACTTTCTGACTTAAGGACGTCGTACACGCTTGATTTCGTTCCGTACATGAATGTCGATTCACATAGACGAGGTAGTTGTGGAAGCGTACTGTCTTCGCCTTGGAATATCACCTCTTACGATCGTTCTTGGGCTCCTGCGTCACATAATCGGTCTACTCTTGGGTGTCCCAATAAATTATCACCGTTTCACAGAAAACGTACTTCCTTATACTCACCTAATACTATTCGTTACATTAAGTGGCCTTCTAGTGGATGTATTCGAAGCAAACCACCTTCACTGCCACCGCCACCACCTCCTGTACCTCCAGTTTTGCTTAAAACAACAATTTTACCACCGGATGATCGAATTCGTGTTATAGATATGCATGCAATTGAAGTAAGTTGCTGCCATTTTTTGTTTAAGATATATTAATTACTCATGCATGTTTTGCTGTTCGCTCCACAGATGCTCCGTGTATTGATTTATTTTATTTGTTGTATGATGCTTTACTTTTTCAATAGTTGGATGTGTAGTTTGTGTATATTACTATTCTATATCGTGTTCCTAATTTATGTTGTGTGATGAGATTATTTAAAACGGTACCATTTCCATTTCTGATATATATTGAAAGATAATTTGTTTAACCGACAGTTTCAGTGAGATTGTTATCTCAGCATTTATTTCTGCCTTTGTTTTCCCGCAAGTATCTGATGTTTACCTTCAATGATTGATGTTGATATGGCGATTTCGTTTCCAACAGGTTGCTGTTTAGCTTAGTAATTAAAGTCTTGTTCTGTGTACTTTTCTGTAGTATATTTTTTAACCAATACATTCGCTACAAAATTGTTTCAGGTTACTAATCGCGTTCATATGACATTCTCTGAACTGATTTCTGATCTGACCACTGGTATAGATAACGAAGTTGAAGTTATACGGTAAGTATCGTTTCGCGGATTTGTTTACTGTAATGTTATATGATTCAGACTTTTATTTAATAGTTAATTTAGGGGGAAATGATTTGATTCTGTAGTTATGTATGATTTCAGTTCAACTATTTGCAAACTATTCAGCCCTTCTAGAAAGTGCGCTAAATGTAACTTATTCTAATATCAAAGCTATTAGTTTCATTATACCAAGTTTGAATACCATTTATGATGTAGATACACTCTCTTTGAGTTAGGAATATTCACTGATAGTTTGTCAGTCTTGGGGGCAAATTCTGCATCGAGTTACGTATAAAAATTTTTTATGAGATGCCTTCGATTCATGATGAACGTGAATAGTCGGCTAAAAGCATATGATGAAAACAAATGTAGCACATTATCATGGATCGAGAACAATTTCACAAACTGTTGATATCATCTACATGTTTAAACCCATAAATGATAGGAGTAGAGCCGATCATGGTCTAGTTAAACATCAATTATAACACGAAAGCAAACTATTTTATTATATTTTATCAGCCCTCAAAAATACCTTGAAACAATCTTTGAGAATCAGGAGAAAGCCTTAACCGATCTGCGTTCTCTGGGAAATCAATAGTTCCCGCGAAACGACGGATTACGTTGTCATTATCTTGATTAGACAGCTATAGACATTATAGTCACTTTAAGCATGTTTTCCATAAGTTCCTGAAATCTTGAAATCAAATTTGATTCTCAGTCAGTCAGTCAGCTACAACGTAGAACCAGGCATATATATTCATCGGTACAAGTTGCCATACCTCATTAGCACAACAAGATGAACAACGAATTCATAGAGGTAGTTAATTCAGTGGTGATAATATATAAAAGAAAGATTGCATATAAAGATATAGTACAGGGAGAAAGGATTAGTTGGTAGAAAGAAAGATATAAAGCAATCTTAACCTCATAGTGTAAGGGAAGACAGAGAGTGCATACACCTACGCCATTGTGACCGATTCAGAGCCATGTCACCCAGAGTCTCCAATCATTGGTTACGATAGTCACGCGGACCCCAACCAAGTAGTCTGCATCTACCAACATGGCTAAGACTAGAAGTTAGTGACTTCAAGCACTGATGTCACGTTTAGGTTTGACCGTCCCTAACTTTCTTTCAACCATCCCCAACACTAGTCAGCATTACGCGTGGTAGTAATCGGTGTTCAGGCATACGTAACACGTGGCCCAACCATCTCAGTCTATGAAGATTTACAACCTCACCAACTGATTTACCATCATTCCTTAATACCCTGCATGTAACCTCACCATTACTTACCCGGTGATCCCAGCAGATGCGAGCAATATCTCTAAGACAACTGTGACCGAATACTAGTAACTTACGAGTATCCTTAACGGTCAAGTTTCCCAGCTGTGAATTATATTCATCTCTTAATTGACCGATGGAGATCTCGTCTTCTTCATAGATGACGTAAGTTGGCAAAAGCCAAACGATTCCATGCAGAGATTTTGTCAGACACCAACCCATTAGGGTTGATTGGACTTCAAAGATAAGTGAAGTTGTCGATGCGTTCAACTACTTCACCCCCTATCCTTAGTTCAGGTATTGACACAGGCCAGTCCTGAAGCAACAACGTGCATTTAGAGGGGAAAAGCGCAACCCAAACATCCTGGCATTGTTGCTCAGTCCTACCAAAAGACTTTGCATTTTATTAGCGTCTTCACCAAACACAACTATTTCATCTGCGTATTCTAAGTCGATAAGTGGACCTCCCGGTAGGAGATCAATGCCTGAAAATTCAATCGACGAGAGCGTTATTTCCATCAGTAGGTCTATGATGAAGTTAAATAAAAGTGGAGAAAGTGGACTGCCCTGCTGGACACCATTTGAGGCTGCAAAATCAGATGACAGTTCGTCATAAGCTCTGACTCGACTATTGGTGTTCGAGTAAAGAGCCTTCACAAGGTTTATGTACTTCTGAGGCACACCTTTTAATGACAGACACTGCCACAGGACCTCTCGGTCTACAGAGTCAAATGCTGCTTTTAGGTCAAGAAACACTATAATTGTCGGACGCCGATAAGCATGCCTGTGTTCTAAAACCTGGCGAATAGTGAATATGTGGTCGATGCAGCCACAACCAGGTCTGAAGCCAGCCTGATTTTCTCGTGTTTGCAGTTCACGAGTCTTAGTTAGGTGTCCGATAATTATTGAGGCTAGTATTTTAGATGCTATGTTAATCAAACTAATCCCTCTATGGTTATCACAGGATGATTTTGACTCCTTTTTATATATTGGGACAATCAGTGATTGTGACCAATAAGATGGGATTACGTCCAACTCCCAGATTTTAGCTAAAATATTAGTCAACCTAATCGCTAAAATTGGACCACCATCCTTAAAGACCTCTGTAGCCAATCCACCTGGACCAGCTTCTCTTCTTCGTTTCAGATTATCTATAGCCTTTTGAACTTCAACTAGAGTCGGGGGACCTACTTCAATGTTCCATTCAGGCTGTCTGGAAATGGTGGGTAGTTGTAGAGTAGCTGGAGGCCAGCTGAACTGCTCCTTAAAATGTTCCGCCCATCATTCTAAACGTCTGGACTGCGAGCAGATAAGAGTGTCGTCTTTTTCCGAGATAGTCTCACTTACACTTGACTTATTAATCTTAGTTTCTTTTATTAGTCTGTAGAGCTGTTTTGTATTACCTACAGCCGCCACCTTTTCCATCTCTATGTGCTTTCGTTGCCCACCACCGCTGACGGTCGTTCCTTAGACTGTTGGTTAACCAAGATCTGATCTGCTTTCGCTCTTCATCGTGTTCAGATCCTGATGGGATGAGTTTACGAGAATCCATTAGTGCAATAGACTTAGAAGAAATCGATTGGTGTTTTGTAACCCTTTGGCTTAAATCACTGATAGATGTCACTGCTGTTTGTATATCTTTCCAAGCAACGTCTGGGTCAGCCTCGTTTTCAAAACTACCTAAGTGTGACCTCAGTTGTTCCTGGGATCTACTTTCTGCTTTTTCGTCACTCAGTTCAATTCTAATGGGTCTTCTTAATGTGGATTTTCTGCATCCAGTGAGGCTCAAACAAATGCGTGCCCGTATTAGAGCATTATTAGAGTCCAAGCAGGTATTCCAGAACGAGCGTGAGTCTTCTATCGAGCCTCTACAACGATGACTGATGGAAATGTGGTTCACCACGTCAAGGTAGCAGCAACGGTCTGGACTATTAAGATACTAACTACTATTAAACTAGTTTCACAAAACAGAACTAATGTTTTAGGGATATGCTTTCTTCGTGGATATAGGGACTGTGATTTCGTTACTAGGACACACAAGAGCTGTTAAAAGCATTACAGACTAAGAATATTACTTGAAGGATATTTATATTGATTCCTGAAAAACGTGTTGACGTTTATTAGGTTGTGGAAAGTATATCAAGTAGTGGTTACATAGAAATGTCACCATTATAAACTGAAGACGATGTTAGATAGGGTCATCAGTTTTATTTTTTCTACTCAACTTCGCCACTGAAAGCATTCTGTCTACGGGACGTTGGACGAAAATTTCAAAGGTGCAGTCTCGTTTTACAATTGATGCTTTAAAAAAGTGGAGAGCATATACTTTACACCAGTTTCAGTCACCCAAACTAAACGGTAACAAATCAGAAATTTGCGATATGATTAGACATAACTTGGAATAATCTAAATCTACATCATACAATAGTTCCTACATGTATTTTTATTGAACAATAAGCAGTGAAATTCTATATGGCTTATACTTATGGACTTGGTAACTAGTCAATTGTTAATCATGGACAGTGAAGGATTAGGCACAAATCTGTACCCAATAATGAAAATTCGTATTCGTTCTTTTTACTAAGTTTGCATCTGTTTGAAGTGCCACACTTTGCCCTCTTCATATTTTCTAGGAATTTAATACTTTCATTTTAGAATGTCAGGTCAAAGTAATAGAAACTAAGTGCAGAAAAATTCTTACTTTCTTCAGTCCATGGAAATCTCCTTTAATTTGACCAACAACTTACTTTATCTAAATACTTAGGGATAAGCTCAGCAATCAGCTGAGAACACGCTGGAGTCAATTCTGACGGCTTAAGAAGAACACTATTCCCAGCAGCAATTGCACCAATTAGAGGCTGAAATGATAAAATGAAGGGGAAGTTCCAAGGGCTTATTATTAAAACCACACCGTATGGCTGCTTTTGAATAGTTACTGTATCCATTAACGTGATGAATGACGATGGAACCTGGATAATTCATTACCTTCATAACATTTGTTTTGCGCACTATAATCGTTGGCTATGGTGACACTTAAGGAGGAAGCCAAAAGATGAAGTATAGAGTTGATAGTTGAGGTAGAAGTAATTATGGAAACTGGAGAAGGAAAATTGATTATGAATACGACGGTCTTGATCGCTGTTAGAGGTATGAGGACGGTTATCACTTCCCGGTTGCCCAAACCGTGGAAGGGTTCTTCTAGAGGTACCTGCAAATGAAATCGGGTTGGAGTTGATCTTAGTGACATGAAAGCGTGACCGCAGTGCCCAGGGGACAACTGCTTGAGGCGAGTCACACACGACCTTTTTGTGGGTAATTTTCTTGTTAGCTCTGTACTTGTTGAGACCTCACCGCCGGAGACGGATATCCGTGGGACAAGGCGATGTGTGCATTTTTAGGGTGAACGTTTTCTAACCCCATCCCTCTTTGTGGGAAGGCAGCATCGCTTTTATGCTGGTTGTCTGAAGGGAGCACCTTACTGCCGTCACACCTCTGTACAGTCGGCAGTACGACTTCGCCTTCAGATCTTGGGTATATTGCTTTTAGTCTTACCACTCCTCAACCGACCTGTTTGGCATGGTAGGACCTTGAGAAACGATTGTTCCAGCCAGTATAGCTCGATTAGTTCATCACGATAAGCAAGCTCGACCACCACGTCAAGGTAGTAACAACGTTTTTGAACGGGCGATTCTATAAATACCCTTGCTTTCTGTACATAAGCTAATCTTCATATTGAAACTATTCCCATGCCTCCCGGCGTTTAAGAGTAGAACGTTTCTCTAAACGAGAAGACGGGTACGAAGGTGGTGTCTGACTCTTTGAACACAAATATATCCACTACAAAGTGCTTTTAACTAGTCGTAATTTCTCTAGATATTCTGGTTTTTCGAAGAAATATTTGTCAAATATCGTTCATCGTAAATATTATTCTCATCATGTACACACAATGCAACATTTTCCAAAACTTTCATTTTAGTTCCCTTTATCGATGGACTACTGGTAAGGATACCAGATATGAAGATTATGATCCAGAAGCTCCATGTGATTCATTGATTGGGATGTTGAGACAGATGAAATATAATCAGTTATCGCGTAATGAATTATTTTATGAACTATGCCGGTACGTGTTTTGCCATTTCAGTTAAGGAAATTTGTAGATCTGTCATTGAGAAAATGCTTTCGATCGTAACTCACTTTTAATGAGATTCATACAGACTTTAAGTATTTATTTGGTGATTGTTTTGTGACTTCTGGAAGTATCATATATATACTGTTGTATATATTCCCTAATGAAAAATACGAGCATGATGATTTTTTCACCATATATTGTCGTAATTTTTAATTAATCTAATTTGATATTTGTTGTTTTATGTACTTTTGTGATATGCATGACTTCAGAATAAACTTTAATTAGTATAATGGAGGGTTTATTTTCCAAGTAAAGAAATAAATGGATCGATATTGTTAGAATAGCTTACAATCTATATCGACGTTTGACAATCATCTAGTTCTTAAATGCAAATTTCGTAACTTTATGAAGGTATATCAAAAGAAATAAAAGTATTAGCTGTCAGCGTTATACGTGAGATTTTGTCCAACTACTTGCTAAAATTTACGTCATCGATGTTCATGAAGGAAATTCGGTTGGTTTGTGTCTGGATCCTCCGGGAATTCCTCTATAAGATCTTCAAAGACCAGGATAAGGCTGAAAACATTTCATCCAATCAGCGGGCGGAAAGTCGTGGTAAACATATCAATTTAATCACTGGTACTTGCTAATCCCATTACATGAGATTAAGTAACAGGAACTTCCTTTAGGACCGATACTTTACAGTCTACTGGGACCATTTGACCCAGATCTTGTGTATATTTCGTCAACCTGCTCATCTTGTAGTGATACGTTTTAGCTTGTTGGGTTCTATTTCAGTTCTATGACTTTTCAGCGATTTCTCATGTTTCCTAATTATTTTTACTTTTGATTACATACAGGTTTTTCTATTGTTACCCAAGCCTTAGATAAACTTTAAACCACTTTCGCAGCAATTAATTTTTTGTTTTTATGTTATCGCGTCTCATCCTTTGAGTGAATGCGTTTATATATGTTGGATACATAATTTACAGTTCTTTATCATATAAAGAATCACTTTTTTTATCTTCATTACTTTAATTGTGGTGGTCTATATTCGCATTTGTTTTTTATAGAAGTATTAATCCAAAGTATGGATTATTTCATCATTGAATTGGACAATGTGACTCTTAACTTATACACCCGGTCATTTAAAGTCAACGTAAAGCGTTGGACAAATATTCATTAACCAGAGCTCTTATACCACAACAGCAGGATCAGATGAAATTAACATTATTAGTATCAAATGAATTAAGATAATGATAGTAACAATGATGATGAGACAGACTAATCTTTAAGCAGGATATTCACTCCGGTACTCGAACGCAGTACTGTTAATTTCAAACGCCATTGAGTTATCCACTTAGCTATTGAATCCAGTTAGTCATTAGCTTGTAGGGTGGGGTGACGAAACACGCGTCCTGGATACTACTGTTAGCTTTCATCCATCTCTTCTTGAAAACACTTGTGTCTTAGTGACAACATAGAGACAATCTTCACAGGATGCCTAAATGCCGAAGAGACTGATTAATTGCGGTCCTAAACGTCAATAGGGAAATTCGAACAACCTTACAGATTCGAAAGATTAATCTTTTAAAATGTAGCTCCATAAGACTGAATGAAAGGCTATGCATGAAGAAATACTAAAACTCTAGATCTAGGGGAAGATTAGGCGTGAATGCATCTGTGCCGTTTTGATCAATTCTAAGCCATTTCACTCAGTCTTCGAAAATTTATCGGGATTATCGCACAGACTAGAGTCAGGTAGTTGGATATACCACAAAATATCAGACCAACAGACCAATCTATGGACTGGCTGATCACACATCTTGATTTGCTTGTTTCTAGCTTTCTTCCAACTCATTCCCGGTGTTAAACTTTCGGCACCGAGGTATACAGTGGTTGGGTATATCTAACACATATCCTCAGTCTGCTCTGTCTATGAAAATTCACAACCTCATCAACAAGTGAAGTGGTCAATGCACCCAACCACTATATCTTAGTGGTAAAGTCTCAGACTGTAACGTTGATTGATGTGGGTCAAATCTTGAAATTATACATACATGTTTGTATTTTAACACACGGTGTTTTTTTTCGAGAAATGGATCAGTTTCTTCAGGAGTTTGACTTCATCTTTCCATTGAAATATCCCGTTTGGAGTTCATTTATTATATAAACAGATTACCAGGAAGAAATGCGTAATCAAGTGCATAAATGTATAATTTTTATTTTGTTTAGTATCATCCATCCGTAGTGTCACCAGAATATTGGTAGTTTTAATAATTTCCTTTATCCAGGTATGCTGGATTACAATGTCAATATATAACTGGTTATTCTAAAGGTGCTGGATATCGTCCAGGCATGCCAATTAAAGATAATCAACTTTTTCGTAATACTTGGCTTGCAGTGTACATTTGTGATGGTTGGCGTTTTGTAAATTGTAATTGGGGTGCTCGGTATTTATCGGAAAGTAAATTTTGTTTTCCCCTAATTGTTTTTATTCTGTTTTCTAATATCCACTTTAAATTTGTCCTGCATTACATCTACAGTTTCAATCTCTCACTTTTTCTGTCTGGTGTCATGGGGGCTGAAATAAAGTATCTAAGTAAATGTAAATGTTCGTCTATACAAATAAGTAATTAGGTCTTTAAATTTGAAAATTATTAAGTTTAGATTTCGTAGTTCGATAAATTTTTGTCAGCATTGTGACTTAATTATGTGGGATATGTCTTTTCCATTTATTTCTACAACATAGAATCACATAGTTTCAACATTTTGTGTTTTCAAAACTTTTATTGGCAAGTCAACGCTGATAGATACTTGTGTGTATTGTCTTGTTAAATAATTGTCGTAATTCAATATACTTTACCCATGTCTATACTGTGTTCTTAATCGGTTTCTATTTGAATTCTGAGAGAATAGTTTCATGGCCAGGTTTATAGTGCCAAGTGAATAAGGTACCCCTTACGCTATATTGGAAAATCCCTCGTCCTAGGTTAAAAGTTCTTAAAACATGTAGTTCGAAATTTCCTAACTCCAGAATTATGAAGTTCCATCCATTTTGCGATAACCAATATTTTATGGTAGTGCACAAAGCATACACCATTCACTTTATTTGATAAAGGTTTTCATCTTGATCGACTCAGTAGCATCTGGCTGTCTGCAGCAGATAAATAAACCTCTAGAATGATCAGTAGTGGAACAAGTAGATTTACATAAATGAACATTAACATCTTCACATATGTTTAGAGGAGACCATGTTTTAGTCTTAATGACAATCCTAAAATTTACTAATAACATGAAGCAGACAACTATGTGTCTTTTGGTAAAAGTTACTTAGCCTGGTGTCGTTAGCTGATAGCTCTTAAATTTGTTTGGAGAATAAATGTTCCGACCACATTCGAAAACTTAAAGATTTATAAGCACAGTATACAAATTTCTTGGTCAGTTCGTATAACTCATCTTTTCTCTTTGCGACTGGTTATATTTGTAGATTTACCAGACGGTCGTTCGTCTTCATCTGAATGTGATGAGTTTTATTTTCTAACTGATCCAGAACAACATGTTTTTGAGAATTTACCTGATTTAAAAGTATGGCAGCTATTACGCAAACCATTGAGTATGGATCGATTCTGTCACTTACCACTACTTAAATCGCCATTTTTCAATGCTAATCTGTTTTTGAAAAAGAATTATTCCGATTGTTTAGTTACCAAAAATGGACAGGTAATTTCACTATTTTTTATGAGTACAATGTGGTATGCACATCATTCGCTTTGTATAAATGAATAACCTTTGAATTGAGTCTGTAATTTATTTTCCAGAACTCTCCTTTATATAAATAGTTCGTTTCAGTATATATTAAAACTGTAGCTACAATAACTTGAATGGCGTTTCTGTTTTTTTCTTCAGCTCTTCTTTCCACAGGTGCGTGGTTTATAAACCAGTCGATTGAAGAATAACGAAAGCATAATTATTGTTATATAATGAACGTAGATAAATCCACATCAGTGTCTTATGAATTGTGGTAATCGATAATTTTTCTTTTGAGATTTACAAGCTTATAGAGGTGATTACTTATTTAAACCTGCAACCCCTCTTCAGATATAGGCCGCCGACCAAGGATCTTCAATAAATTTATCCCTGTCTCTCCTTTCCAATCTTTGCCAAGTGGTATTCATAGTCTTAATGTGTCGCCTTTGATTCACGTCACTATATTTTCTTACACCTGTTCCTCTTTCTTTCCCCCCGAGGATTCCGAGCTAGAGCTTGTCTTGTAATACAGTTTGATTGTTTTCCACGAAACTTGACCGATTTACCGTCAGCGTCTTTCCCTAATTTCTCCAACTGGTTGCTGGTTTGTTCTACTCCAGAGTAGAGTATGTTGATAGTCTCGGTACAATGGATGTGTATTATCTTGCCTAGGAAGCTGTTTATGAATGCTTGTACTTGTATTGTCCAATTCATTTCTCAGAAATGATCCACAGTGTTCCCGTTTGTTTACCACATGATCGATCCTCACGAAAAGTAAATTGTTTATCTCTGAGTTGGGCATCTACTAGATTTTCTATTCGGTTCAGCTAGCTATATTGAAACATCCGATTGACACTAATATTAACATGATTTTCTGTGGTTCTTACACGTACTAGGAACTCCTTTTTAGAGCATCTTTATGAAGTATCCCTCTTTCCAGTCTGTTGATACCTGTTCTTTCTCCGAGATCTTTCTGAAGAAAACGTGAAACATGATTGAATTTGCTTCTATATCTAACTTTATTATTTCAGCTAGTGTTCCAACTGGTCATACTGTTTTTCCATTCTTGATTTGTGCGATGGTCTTGTTTGGTCTTCTATTGTTGGTGGGGTATCGTCTATAAGGTGATCTCCGTGCGCTGTTCTTATATCATGTAGGTTCAGATTAGCTTGTCTATTCCGAAGCTCTTCAAAGTGCTGTATTGCCGCTTTTGATTCTCACTAGCTGGTTTTTGTTGGGGATTCTAGATCCTCAGGAATCACCTTGGTAAACGTCTCAGTTTCGTAATTTTATCTTGGAAATTCGAATTTCTCATTTTTGCTCTAAAAGCACCCACTTTTACCTTCACCTTTGTATTCTCCACTTTAATGAACCTTAAATGTCATTGGCTCGTTCCCTCTTTTACCACGCTATTTTGTGACGTTTTCCAAGGACATTTTTGTACTGCATACATACTCATAAGTTGTGTTCTTGTTCGTTCGTGCTTCTGGCTACTTGTGGAATATCTTTTTCCGGCTGAATCTGGTCTTCTCCCTCTAGTTAGCACGACTGGGGCACATCTTGGCTTGTCCTGTTATTGTATTGCTGACTTTGTTCCGTTTCGCCGGTTCTCGGCGATATCGTAGTTTCTTCAGACGTAACAGTTTCACGTCTTCGTTGCTGACTGGTCGCTCTTGTCTACTACTTTTTCCTGTTAGCTTTTTGCTTTTGCTCTATGGTTCTTCTATACGTTATTTTCCTTTAGCTTGTCCTACTGTAGTTGTTAGGTTTTTAAATATTTATGCTTGTCAGCCGTAATGCTCTTCTCTACTCCTTTGTTTGCTTCTGTATATTCAGTCTGTATCTTGGCTTTCTTTGCAATTTTCAGGCCTTTTTGACTGCTGTTTCCTTGTGCTCACTGTCTTGATTGATTCACCCTCTATGCTGGTGCTCCTTAAACTTCAGCGCCTCTTGGTATATGGAAGTTATTACTTTCTAAGTCCCTCCTTAGTTGTTCGCAATAGTGGTTTCTTGTAGTGGCTTCTGTCATAGATGGAATGTGTTGTAAAACAGTTGTAGTTCAAAGTGTAGCGCATAAATTTATAAATATTGGTAACGGGAACATTCAAACAATCAACACAAATGGATTAACATCCACTCCGTTGCACAAGCCAGCGATCGTCTGGACTCAGTAGCTGAATGGACAGGTGCGTTGGGCGTGTGAAGCGAAAAGTACTAGGTTCGAGTCCCAGTGTAAACTGAGGCGAGGGCGCACCCAACTGACTAGTTCCCAAATAGGACGAAATCTGCGTTCTGGATTCCACTGATAGCTGGCGTCCAACTCTGCTCATAATTTGTTATTTTAATTAGTTCACAAATCATCGTCAATGTCTTAGTGTAAATTAATAATATATTCATTGTAATGTTTTTATTCTTATGTACACAGTTCTTCTAAATACCCTCGACTTATCAACTCCCCATTCCTTACATAATTCTCTTGTATTCTGTGGTCATTTTATTTGAATTCCTTATTAGTCTTGATAATAATTCCAATATAAACTTGTCTGATTCTTTTTTATTTGTGTATTAGGTGAGTGTAAAAATAAAAATGTCGAGATTTGTTGGCATTTCCTGCAGCTTAGAAAACTGTGCCGATCATAGTATTCTGTTAGGGTTATGCTTAGTCGAAATCCTGTTACGACCACCAGGTACTGTACGCATTGAAGCTGCTCCATCACAACCAGGAAAGTATTATTTGAACGTTTATGTTTCACCTGATTGGCGGCGTGAAGACATCAGGGAATTGGCATGTTCATTTCAGGTTAGCAGTTGGCCATTTTTAATCTGTTTCTCATTTTTATCGCTTGAATCTTTCAGGCCACTTGACTAATCTAAAGCCTGTAGGACTTTATATTATTATAGCCCGTTTTAGGTCTTCGGATTTTTAAATGGTTCATAAATAAGTATTTGGGATGAGGAACAAGTACCAAAAGACTGGAAAGAAGGACTTCTGATCAAAATACCAAAGAAAGGCGATCTCAGAAAGTGTGATAACTACAGGGGCATCACTCTTCTCTCAATACCGGGAAAAGTCTTCAACAGGGTATTGTTAAACAGGATGAAGGACTGCGTAGACGCCCAACTTCGTGACCAACAGGCAGTCTACGCAAAATACTTCAGATCCTTTGGCCGGACACTATTAGCAACAACCTACTGTGGGAGAGAACAAACCAGATCCCAGCGGAGGAAGAAATCAGGAAGAAGCGCTGGCAGTGGATAGGACACACATTGAGGAAAGCACCCAACTGCGTCACAAGACAAGCCCTCACATGGAATTCTGAAGGCCAAAGGAAAAGAGGAAGACCAAAGAACACATTACACTGGGAAATGGAAATAGACATGATAAAAATGAACAAGAATTGGATGGAACTATAAAAAAGGCCCAGGACAGAGTGGGTTAGAGAATGCTGGTCAGCGGCCTATGTTCCGTTGGGAGTAACAGGCGTAAGTAAGTAAGTCATAAATAAGTAATTTATTCAGTGAAACCCTTATAAATTGTGTAAATGATATCAAAACATTATCATTAAATAAATTTCGGTAATGAATAATCGCAAAATATTGTTTCAATTAGAATTAGAAAATCATGAATAAGTTTTTGTTGGATTTGAATTTCACCAATGTCAAGTGATTACTATGGTGGAGCTGTGGCTTAGTGTTGACTTTCAGCTACTAAATCTCAGGTTCAAGCCCAGCTCCAACTACATTGGTTTGGGCAACCAATTAATATCATTAGCTCCCACAATTAGAGTGTGATTCATATCAAAGTACGTGAAAAATGAGTTAATCTGAAGTCTATTATGGTATTAATTTGTGATTTTATTTATTGCACAATAGTTTCCTAGAATCGTTCTTACAAAAGGAATTTAGAAATAAACGTAAGTCTATTTTTCTCTTAAATTAGTAGTGCCTGTGTTGTTGATCTGAGTGCTATTTTACCCATTAACAAAACTTTTGTTTGTATATAATTACCTGTCTAACTTAACTAGTTTGCAGTGTTATAAGGATATAGCAAACTATTTCAGTCATAACCGGTATATTTTCATCTTTTATGATTAATAAGTTAACAACTTTTTTCAGATTTTTGTAAATATAGTTTTTTGTTAACGTTACTCAAGTGTACATAGTTTTGAAAATTTTCGCCAAACCTTGGCTTGAGTTTCTTTGTTTAAAATCTTAATGATCATGGTACCATATCACACCTTTATTTTTTATGACCTTTTGTTTTCTTCCACAGATTCATTGCTCAGAATATAATTATTCTCGTCTAGTTGTGACTGGTCGATTGCCTGAAGTTGGCTTTCTTGGTCGTACACCTGCTTCAGAAGTGCATGGCGTACTAATGGTACCAGAAGGTGATGCGTCAGATGGTCGACCATACATTGTACACAATGATCCAAGACCTCTGAAAATTCCTTTTGCCATTGCTCCTGGTTTAAAGGTTAGGTCAATCAGACAATTTTCTTCCTTACTTAATATCAAATAATTAAGTAGTTTAAGTTCAAATAAATTAAAAAAACCCCCTGTGCCGTACTCATTGTAGTCTTGAATAAATACATCTTCACTGATATGAAAACTAGTGTATAAATTAAAAATATTAGAAATGAAAATTGATTACTTAATTTAAGTGCCAATTTTGAAGATTGATGTTGAATGTCAGTAGGAGGAAAGTTCATATCTCTCAGCTTTTATATACAGTAATAGGGATTCATGTTAAGAATGGTATGTAGTCACTTGCTGTGCTACTTATAACATCAGCTTAATTACTCTACTCGTTACGTATTCGATAAGCCACACAGATTTCAACATTCCCAAATCTTAAATGAGAACAACCGAAGCCAATCATATAGTCACATATAATTTCACCTTTTTGTTAATAACAAAACTACACTGTATCATAACGTTTCAATTTTAGTTCATAATTAAAACATTTTTGATACAAAGGTGTTTATTATATCCAGAGCATCTTGTCAACAGTCTTCAGCCATAAAGTGATGTAATAGTAAAGTAATATGTGCTTGCATTTTGGATGAAGTATGTTGACCACCAAATGATCAGTAATGTACTCGATCCCATCTACTTCATGACTTACTGAAACTCCAATGACGTGTACGGATTTATGAATTTGACGGTATGTGAAAGACACGGATTATATTCAGTGTAGTTATGTTTATGATCTTTGATTCAACGTTGTCGAGAGGCTTATTATATTACAAATTTCCCCTAAAGAGGTTAGCAATGTTTTGCGTGATTTATAATTCGGATTAAAGTACAGTTTCTTTAAGCATCTTAACTTGTTACGGCATTTAAGTAGTATGACCTAATTTTCTTGTATGCTTTCATGGATGCTGTAAGTTCCAATTTAGAACTATTGATTTGATAAAATATATCTCTTGCATATGTGAGACTATTTCTCGATATGAATATCGTATCAGGGTTCTCAGGATTACCTATATACTAAAATCAATATAAGCTGGTCGTAATTAACCAAACTTGTGGGGTTTTAGCGTGGAATCGAAGCTTCTGTAAATTTTCTATGGAGGCAGTAAAATTTAATGTTATACCAATATCAGCTAAATTTGTTCTTACTATTATTTTTGTAGCTATGCCACCAATTAAAATCGTTTGATCGACCAGGTCATCAAATGGCAGATTGTGATAGTTATGCATTGCTTCAAATGAAACCAAACCATCATAGTAGTATTACACATTCAAAGCCATTCAAATCTCAGGCTAATGCCTATTATAACGTTCGTCTACCTGTACAAGCATTTTACTACTTGACTATTTATGCTTTTAATGAAAATGATATTGTCAAAGATCATCTAGACTGTGTGTATCGTATTTTAATTGATGCACGTAACTGTCGTTCTTCTGAGTTAATTCAGGCTTATCCGCGTCAAACATTTTGGTGGGTTCAGTGTCGATTAATTGAACCTAAATATCAGCATTTATTCATTAATCGAAATTATAAATTCTGTCTAGACGCTCCTCAATGTGATTCTGTAGCTGTTGTAATCAATGGATCGGAATGGCACTTCCTTACTCCATCTTCACCAATATCACCATCTAAACTCCATTCACCATCTGGCAGTAATCATCATGGTCGTTGGAGTGGTAAAGTTTATACTGGCAAATGCTTGGGACAGTTATCTGTGTTTGGACGTATACCTCATATTAATAAATTTAAGGAGATAAGTTTAGAAAATGAATGCAGAATAATTAATGATACCATGCATGGGGGTTATAATGGTAATGACCATGCAAATAATACTGATACTACTACTACTACTACTACTACTACTAATAATAATAATAATAATAATAATAATAACGATGAAGATGATGAAGAAAATTCCTATATTAAACTTTTAGATTATATTCTCGTTCAAAAAGAATTGTTTAGCTAACAGTTTGTTTAAGTTTACTAATAATTATCTTTACAGTTTATAACATCTAATCAAACTGAACACTTCCATTTTCTGTGGATATTACTTTTTTTTATTACCAATTATATTCTTCAGAGTAGCTCAACTGTTAATAATACGTGTTTCAAAGTACAGTAGTTAGTAATAATCATATTTATTATGTAATAGTTGAATATATTTTGTGATTTCCTTACTTCCACTATTTATTTTCTGTTTATTTAAATGTCTTGAAAAAGAAATAATTAAAATTATGCTCTCACAATTATTCTTCCACTTATATGTGATAAAATTTATTAGTTGTTTTTTATTTATTAACATTTATTTATTTACTTTTATTTTGTTATCGACTAGCTATTTTGCGTGTATTTAGTAGTTTTACGTCAGTTTTATTCCTTTTGGAAAGAGATACATATTAAAGTATAATATGCAAGGAGAGAGAGAAGGAGAATAACAAAAAAAAATTGTTGACTTTTGATTGTATTAATTACGCTTCATTATTTCTTTTTGTTTGTGAGAAAATTTATTCCACTAACTGACTAAAGTATGATGGAGATTTTTTCCCATTTCTGGTTGATTAGTTTGGTTTCCCAGTCGATTGATTTCCTTCTTTAGTGGTTAGTAAAAATATTGTATTAAACAATAAAAATCACTTGTTTTCTTTTGATTGACACAATCTGAACTTCAATCGACTCTCAATGAGTATGCACAATATAGCAGTTATCTAGAGGAAATGTTTTCTTCTGCTAATTTATCAATAATAATGCTGATAAAGAGAATCCAGCGAAGAAAATTTTGATTTCTACGAAACCATTTACATAAGTTGTACACTCGTATTTATAGTTATATGGGAAATATGTCTATAGAAGGATAGAAATGATTGCATCATAAATTGATTCCACACTCTTATTACCAAATGAGGTTACACAAGAAATTTTTCTACGTTGAATTCTCTTTATTTTTATTCAATGACACAATGGGTTATTTTAATAATGCTGTTGATTTAATATTTTAATTTGATTCGATTGTATTTTCTTTTTTATTAAATATAATATGATATTATTAATAATAATAATAAAAGGGCTACCGTAATTCTTTACGCACACTCAAAAAGAGAGACATTTATTCTTTCGGAAAAGTTTTCTGACTCTCAGTTGATTATTTCTAATTTATTCACTAGATTCTATGCATATTCATTTTAACTGTGTGCATAGCTAACATGTAATTAGTTTTTTTGTTAATTGTTTTCCTCTTGCCTTATTATTGATTATGTAGTTTTAAAGCAATAAATAATACGACGGGTAACCTTCAGTCTCCGACTTTTATTAAAGTTTGTTGATATAAAGTGAAAGAAAATACTGGAATTTATATATTTGATTGTTTTACCTTCTTTTCTCATCACTTATGTTTGTGTATTGTGTATGATACGATATAATTGTGCTTACTTGATTAGCTTGACTGTTTTCATATTGTTTACCTATGTTTGAATATATAATGTATACGGAGGGCAATAACATACTTTTGTTAAGCAGCTGCTGTCATCTAAAGGCGCGCGAATACTGTTGGTATTTATTTGTTTTTCTAGAGTGTTTGCTAATTTAAAAAACACTTTGTCATTTGATATTCAATGGTTAAGTATGATTAGTGGTGAACAATTCAAAAGTAATATCTTTGACTGCTACATTGAGTGATGCGAGACCGTATCCCAAAAGGAGCATCTGTTTTGTCTAGATTGTACATATGGTTTGCCTATGAGCTCCAACTTCCATGAAACTAGATTCCAACCATCATTCATGAAGAATTCTGTATGCACAGTTAAAAGGATATGTGAATTTTAATAGCTGTTGTCTAAACCAGATTAATATTCAAAAATCGTCACTACAGAATTAAAATTATCGGAAACTTTCCATTAACTGCAGAGTTTGGTTAAAACATCATAGAAACCAGGCTTAGTACTTTCAAGATAAGTGAGGAGGGAGAATAAGAAAGTTTCTTAACTCTCAGTTTTGTCAAGGAGACGAAACTTGTTTAAATCCATGTGCCAAAAATTAAAAACTCTGCTTTCATGCACAAATCGATCGTCCAATACACTTCAAAAGTTTTCGTTAGCATATGTAGATTGACTGGTCCTTGATAGATTTATAATTGGCATTTTAAAATAGAGCTGATCATAAATTCAGTATTTCTTAGGGACAGTCTTGCCAATCTTAAACTAATTCAGAAAATTCTATGTTTATCGATTTTGTAAAGTTTAACTTTTACAAAGCTTTCTACCAAGTGAGAATAATCACTAAGGATGTAAGAAATTAGCAACTGAATCTGTTAATTTATCTGCATACCATTAGCTAAGGTTCTCGAATTCCTTTGGCTATATATATTGTTTTAACTTCTGTATACATATTTAAAAGACGGCCTTTTTTGTACAATTTACCGACTTAGTTTTATAAATCGCTAGTCCCCCATCACAGTTTTATTTTGATCGTTGATTTGTCAGCCTTTGTCTAGGATACTTAGTATTGGATAGGATTTCAAGTACTATTGTGGCTTTCAATGTGGAGTTACTTATTAAGGAAATTTTATGTTTACTGAAGTCGAATAAATGTACTGAACATCATTTTTGAGCTAAGAAAGTAATTACACTTACCAGAATAAAAAATTCTATTATCGGTTGCTGGAATAAACCATCTTAGTAGTAAAAACCTCTGAAACAAGGGTCACCGTACTTTTTCAGTCTATCAAGTTATCCGTTTTCCATCTTCATACCCCAGCGATTCGGCATCTAATGTAACATGCCTAGTTTTTTATAATCTAATTGATTGGTTGACTGGAAAACAATGATGCATACTATTTCTCTGAAAGTAGTCTATAATATAGATGAAAAAATAAGTGTGATTTAACTAAGATTATTTATTTCATACTCTAGCGTATATAGTTCATTGTCATAATTGTTTTATAGCCATTATCTAAACATCCCAGACATGCAATTCAAAATCAATCAGGATTTCGCTAAAAATTATAACCGATATCGTCAAAAGGAGGAATACGAGAAACTAAAGGCTAAACACGGTGATGCTAAACTGAAGGATATTAAACTATCCAAGTTATCTGATACTAATTTCAAAGTGGACGAAAATGTAACCGTTGCTTCAATTTCAGATAATGATGATGAATCTACTTCAAGTTCCTCAGACACTGATGATAGTTGGGAAGAAAAACAACAAGATGATTTCTTGACTCTATATCAAGCATTGTGTACAAATGATCCATCTCTTAATGATCCTAATAAACAATGGTTTCGTGAACCTAGTGAATCGGATGATGAAAGTTCAAAGTCCTCAGATGAAATTTCCGAGTCAGAAATTAATAAAAATAACAATAAACAAATGCAAATAGATGCCAAGACAGAAAAGAAACGTGTTTTGAAACTTCGGGATTATGAACGCGAATTTCTTTTGGCTCAAGATGGATTAGAGGATGAAAGTGTTTCAAAGGAGGCGCGGAAGATTGCTCAGATGGAAAGTGATGATGTTTTGAGAAAAATGAAAACACAGTCGATAGATTTGTCAAAGGAACAATTTATACAGTAAGTGTTAGTAGGCTTTATGAAAGATTCAGAAATTTAGTTATATTAGGATTAATAATTGCATGAGAGTCTAAGAAGATTTATTATCATCTTCCAAGGACGTTAGATACCATTAGAAGTTTTAGAGTTTAGTGTGATGCTGTGTCTTGTATCATTCCTTCGTATTTCTGATTAATAAAGAATAGATATTTGGTTTTCTACTCATGTAGAGCTCAGAAACCACAAACCAATTTTTTTAGTCTGGATGCAAGTTGATGGACTATAGCTTTACTCACAGGCTCGTGAACATGTATATACCGCTATCCGACCAAAGATAAATTACTTATATGCCAGTTAACCGAGAGATCTTATCGTTATTTCGTCTCTTAAAAACATACAGTATTGCACTTCAGACTATTTGAATACTCAGTGACTGGTCAGCATTTGACAAAATATCATCAAAAATAAGACTTAGTTAAAGAAGTCTTTTTCCGTCAATTTTTAGTTGACATACTTCAAAAAGTAACAGTTTTTTAGTTTCTGGAAAATTTATCAACTGCCTGATATTTTATTGTCATTTTAAAGCAAATAACGGCGTCCTGTTTTGTGTATATTCCGAAAAATCCGTGGATTTCTGAATACATTGAGTGGAAGTGTATGATTTGGTTATGTTTGAAGGACCTACGTAGTCTATAATGTCGATGTTAGACTCGAACTAATCCTTGAGAGATGTGTTACATATGCCACTCACTTTATACCCGAGAGTACTACAGCAGCTGATATAGCGACGGTTTGGCAAAAGGTTGAGTGTTAAGATTTTCCTATCAGGTCAATGATACTGGATCTGAGCTGTATAGGTTTCGTAGTTGGAGTTTACGAAATTATTGCAATCTAAGAATAAAGACCAGGTAATGTAACGTAGACTCATTTGTAGTTACGCACATCGATACTAATTCTTTGAACTGTGTTTTATACTTTTCATCGTTTTTTTTCCCATGTCCTTATTCTTTTGTTCTACTGTAATAGGTATTATCATTTTGGATCCATTGTTTTAGGTTTTTTGAAGGCTAGAAACTTAATTTATTTCACTATCTTTACATTAATTGCATGTCAAAAACTAAATTATTCTCAAACCTTTTTTATACATCGTATACTTTTAGGGCAAACCAGTATATAATTTTTCTGTCCTGTTATGTAAGTGACTATTGGTGAGACTAAACGCTGTTATCATACGCCATTTCCAACTTCAACCACTCTAAGCATTCATATTGAATTAATATTTTTGAAGATTACTGAATCTAATAAGTGAGGCTGTAATATACTAGCCTATTTCAAGCTAGTTGTAACCTTCTCCAGTTCGACCAAATTTGTATCTCCTGTGTTAATATTCTTATTAAGTTAGTGTGTGCTTGATAACTGACACGTTTTGAAACGATTTCACTATATACCTTGGCTTCGATTTTGACCATAAGTCGCTTTTTCAGTCATTCAGTAAGCGGTTTTTCAACAACGTTTCTTGTATTTTGAAGTACGTTTTATTTATTATTGTAGAGAGGCCAATGAAGCGCTTAATCAGGCGGCTGTAATTTCAGGTGAAATGAAGGACAATAGGACCAGTGAGAGTAATAATGATGACTTAAATTTTTTACGGAAGCGCAAAAGTGAAATAGAACCACCTACTCCAAACAGAAAAAAGCGTAAATCCCATTATGTGAGTTTGATTAGTTACATTATTTGAAAAATCTCTCGTTTTTATCAATACAGGAAGATAGTCGCTTCACTACCACTGCTCGAGCCGTAGTTATCGAGTGACTATTACTTATTAGCAGTCCGATGGTCAACTATTTTCATACCAAAATACCTCTCATCTTTGTTCTATTTTAGTCAGTAACAACGTGCTTTCAGCTATTGAATTCAATAAAGGGTTAAATCTCTTGTTTTTTATTTTGCTTAACAATCATTGAAAGTGTTGAATACACTTCATCTGTTTAATGTCATTTTGACATTCTTATTTACATAAAATCCCTATTTGTGGATTCCTCGTTTTTGTGTTTTTTATATATAATAGATTTCTATTTTCGTCATTAAAGTGAAATATGTTTTCATTAACCAAGAATACTTTAGATTGTTTTTCCTTATGTTTTTGCGTCTAAAACTATAAAGTCATATTGGGATTGTTCAGCTGTATTCTCTTTTTGTTTCATTTTTGTGATGAGGTTAGACATCTTCATTTTCGAAGCCTCGCAATGTCCTTATTCACGAATTGGTAGAGGTCCAACATGCACTTTTATTGTCTATATGACTCCACTAACTTCCTATACCTTCATGCTAACAAATATTTTTGTGGTGATTCACCTCCTGGGCCTATCGTTTCAAAAATATGGAAGCCGTGTATTCGGCTACTGAGTTGTGGTAAACAGTTCTGGTTCCGTTGATGTTAATTTCTTATTACTGTATTGACCAACACCTAAAATTTTGATTCTTTTTAAATATGTTGGGATGTTAACTTTGAGTATATTTTTTTATTATCCAGTTGGCAACGCTAGAGTAATATGTCATGGACATCCAATGCAATACATATGTACTATCTTGTTTACTTACTTTATACCAATAGTCAAGATTTGTGTAACTGATATTGATTTTCAGTTCCTGATGTATAAGTAGCATGTTTTTACTTATCATCAGCTGATTGAAACTTAAAAGCACAAAAGAAATGTTATTGGTGACTAGACCATTTTAAATACCTAACATTTTAATAAGATCTTAGTATAACAAGTATTAGGGATTTCTTGCTCGGCATAAACTTTTTTACTTCACAAAGATCTAATTAAAATAGAATTGAATTTGGAAGTTTATATGGAAAGTAATAATTATAGGTCGTGCCAAACCGAAGATTTATTGAATTGATTTTTTGTGCCCATATCTGACTCTAATTTGACATTAATGTACCCCATATTTAATTTCGTAATTAACGATTGACATATCCCGTTAATACCCAACTGAATCAAAAATCCAAAATATCGCGAAAACATATTTGTTTCATTCGTTATACTTTAGGTAGACAATCATGTCAACGAAGACTGTGCAGATGCACCATTAAGTTAGGACACCAGCCGACTTATCCTAATTTTTCCTATGTATAAAATAGACTATATAAAATACAACGAGCAGATACACAACCAATTAGATTATATGTACAAACGCAAACATATCCTCTAAGTGAACGCGCGAATATCCAGCAAGGACAAATATGACTGTACAGAATATCCGGAAAGATTAGAATAATTTATCTGTCCAGAAACTAGAATCAATCACGTGGGTGTGAAAGTGTCTCAAGAGATGACATCAGAGGATTTCTAGAACTACAGTGTAATGACCAAATATGACTCACAAATCAAAGGTTGTTGGTGAATCTCACCGTCTATAACAATGTACGGGTTTGTTTTGGGGCTTAGATATTGATCATTTGGTCGGTCAATAACGCCTCACGTCTTTCAAGGTACTATCCCTTTCAGCGGCTTCTTTGGTTGCTTCAAGAATAGCCAGTAATCCATGAACGTTTTCCATTAATACACTGTAAACTTCGGCTTCGTTTGCCATGACTACCTTAAATACGTCTTCCTCTGATTTTGTATGGAAGCCGATTAATATTACCAAGGCATTTACTTGTCCAAACTTACTCGTCGACCGGTACTTAATTTCAAAGTCCTAGCCCAACAGCGTAGATACCTCTCGTTATTGGCGGTGTGTAAACTGGAATGTCCTTCTTACATCCGTGGCCTGTTAATAACGTGAACTGCTGACCAAACATTTTGTGGAACCTTTTCACGATGAAAGTAATAGGTAGAGCTCCCGTCCCTATTTGACTATAGTTCCTTTCTGTCACTATTAACCATCTTGGGAGATGAGCAATAACTTTTTCAGATCTACTAGGATAGTCGTGTGAAATGGCTGCTCATATTCCGTAGTTGGAAGCATCGAGAGCGACCACAGTTGATAGGGCTCGATTGTAATGTGTAGGCGAAACATCTGACGATAGAAGCTGTTTTATTCTCTTGATGGCTTCTTGACATTCCACCAATTTCATCTGCTATTCTTTGTCAGTAAGTAACGTGGTGGTGCTCGTGGGTGATGGAGGTTTGAAAGTTAACAGTATCATAGGGGACAAAAACGGAAGAAGACCTGATCCTGAAAATATCGAGGCTATTAATATTATGCTTAATCCGTCCGACGTACCCACATTGTGATCCTTCTTGAAGATGGTCACCCATTATGATGCTGATTCCTCCCGGACCTCCATCACCTGCGTGGACCACTCTTGAGTGTACTAGTGATTAAGCTCTATCTATTGTAGACACTGACAAGATGTAATTTTTTTCTTAAATCATGTGAAATTCTAGAAATATTTGAAATGGGTTTTCAAAATTTGGATTTAAAATAACGCTTGCTATGGGAATAGAGTTAGACACTTCAGCATGTTGATCACTTTATTCTTTCCGGAAGTTTCTTCATCAATATAGGTCAGTGGCTAAAAAACGTTGACACCAATGCAGACAGATGGTTTAGAATTTTCATATTTTCTCTATTTATAGTATCAATAAGATACTAATAAGTTAATTGTTTTCTGTTTATTTGCTTCCTTTTTTTCAATCTCTGGTTTATTTTGTATTTTATGTTATGAAACTTCTTAGTTTGTTGTTAAGACCAATGCACCACTGCACGCGTTTCTATACTTTTATGTCCTGCTTTCACTCAACTTTGGCTGCTGGATGGCTTTACTAGCCCTCATATAAATGATGCAGCTTGAAGCTGAGTACATGAACATATACTTTGTAAATAAACTTGTCTATTCGCCATTCTCCATTTTCTTGCCAAACTCTGCACCTACTTTAATACTATGAGTTTATCCTGATCAGCTTTATTTGGTTGCGAATCCATAGTATTTAAAGGTTGTTAACATATGTAGCTTGCTAATAATTATTCAGAAATACCTTCGAAGCATTCATCGCGTGCGGTGGAATTACCGTGTAACTAGCTCTGAGACCGATTGTAGGTTACTAGATAGAGGTATTAACTCGACTAGAGTATATACCTAGATATGTTTAAATCTTTTGGATGGGTTCCGGTAGACAGTCGTAATATAATAAACTGTTTACCTACCAGGTCTTAATGAATAGACTGGTAATCCAGTTTTAAATATCTCAGTTTGTTATTTTAATCTCTTTCCAGGATTTAGATAAAATAGTTTTTACTGATTCAACTAACAAAGAAGCTGAAGAGTTTTTACGTGATTACATTATAAATAAACGTTGGATTGAACCTAATTCACAACGAAGTAATAAAATTCCAACTTATTCTGATGTTCTACACGAATCCGGCTTAGATATAAATGGGGATAAACGGAAAAATCTTTTAAATGATGATGATATTCTTGATGAAGACGATGAATTCCTTGTTAAATTAAATAACTTAGAACAGGGACGTTTACACTCTTTAGGTGTTAATGTAAGTTTTACAGAAATATTATTTATAATTTATGATAGTAATAATTATCATTGCTTTTATTTCCTACAATCTTTATCCATCAATACTAAAAGTTTTATATCTATTTAGAAAACGTGAATCATGATAATGGCTTGCTAACTCCCCATTACTTGGATACACGAGAAATACGAATTTTATGCGGTAGATTTTGATACCGTATTCTTGAATTAACCGGTCTTTGGCTTATGTAATATTTATTTATACTATAATAATTATAACGATTGGCGTAAGGATAGTTATATCCAAAACTTGATCCCATGTTTAGATTTAAAGTTCTTGAAAGGATCACCTTTACCATCTTACTAAGCAGCGTCTGTTATACATTATGTATAAAAGGAATCATCAAACCAATATTTTCAAAATGATTATTTTTATTCATCAAAACGTGCATTATTTTATGCGAAGAGAAAATTTCAATTTCTCAACTTTTCCCCTTTATATCGTTAATCAGGTCACAGTGTTAACATGGTAACAGCCTTTCAATATGATAAGGTAATCATGACATAGTTTATCAGTTAATTATCTTATTTAAGTCTTATATTGTTTTCTATGGATAGGATGACAAGTAATTGTAACACGGCCAAGGTCATTCAGTGAAATTTCTTTTTAGGCTATTATTTCGGGACACTTTTTAAAGGTTCAATTGGATAATTGGATAGCTATTATCGTTCCAATATTTTTATATTTAAGTAGTTAGTCGAAGATAAAATAAGTTGAAAGTCTATATGTTTTACAGCTTACCCTGAAGATATTGGCTATCACTGATTATAAAAATTATAGTTATCTTGTTATTTTCTTCACTTCATTACTGTATTAATGACGAAATAATGCTTTAATTGAGTGAGACGTTTTTACAATGTCACAATAACTTTGAATCATTTCTTCATTTATGTGAGAATAATAAGTGAACCTATAAGCCTGTGGTTTAACAAACATTTAATCCAATCATTATTAATTTCGATTGGTGGCTAACAGTGGGACTCAGGACACTCCTTTAGGTGAAGATCTCAGGTACTTTATAGTGTTGAGGAAGATTCTGCAATGTCAACTGCTTTCTCATAATTAAGAAATCTAATTTATAGTAATGATTTCCACGCGATTGACTGTTAAATAATGATTCGGATTGTCTCTGATTGGTACATAGTCGATCCTTAAAAAATCCAGATTATTGATCTCGAAGTTGGACGTCTAGTGAATCTTTTGTTTTGTTCAGTAACACTGTCAAAAAGTTTGGTTGGCACTGAAACTTGTGTAATTCTTTTGTAGTTCTCACACTTCTTTCTTGAGTATCTTTATGAAGTATCACTCTTTCCAGTCTGTTGGTACCAGTAGATATTGTAAGACCTAGAACTTGGTGCTTGTACTCAGTGTTGTCCATCCCAACCGTGGTATCCAGGTCGTCCATCAGAATGACCAGATCTTTTCCTGGTCATCTACCCAGGATGGACTGCAGCCTCATGAAACTGGTCTTTATAGTCTTCTCTGTAATCACTAGTGAGTACATAGCATTGGATGATATCGATTGTAATCCCTTTCTTCTTTCCTTGAGGATGTTTTGATAATTCTAGAGCCGTCAGTCTTCTATTATTTGAGTGCTTATGGTGCCTTTCTTGGAGAAAATCGGTGCAAGTGGTTGTGTGTGAGAAATTTTTTTTAACCAGAACGCAGTCACAGCTCTTCTTAACCTAATCTTTTCTGTCCAGATTGTATTTAATGTTTCTTACTTTTTGTAGGCGGCACGAAGCTGTATGTTCTCATTTGTGAGTTTATTTAAATGACCCTCCGGTTCTTCCACACTTTTCGGACACTACTTAGCTATATTACTTGTTGTTTCGGTTGTAAGAGTCTCTATCAACCTTGTGACCTCCGAGGACTTTCGGTTTTCACTATTTGTAATACTTCTATATGAAAACCCTTCGACTCCCCGAGGTGAATGTGATTAGCGTTCTCTGGTCATTGACTTTGTGGCGGGGGCCATTTTTACGGATTTTATGAGGTTGATAACCTCATACTGAACCTTTTTCCATTACCCGAGCTTTGGATATACATTAGCTTCAGAATAGCTCCAGTGAGAATTCATTTCCATAATAATAACAATAATAATATAATGACGTGTGTTTGTGAATTTAATCACATTTATAATGATAATAATCGTAACTTTATTGCTAATAATCTTTGCATCGTTGTTTTTTTTGCTGTTCACTACAGACGGGTGTTACAAAACTACATAAAACTGAGCATCGTTTTGAAGAAGAAGATAAAGAATTTGTAAGATGATATTTTTGTTGAATTCATTATGTTTATGTATAGAGTCATTTCAGTCATTTCTTCTGCAAATCAACTAGCTGAAATTCACTTATAGTGGTTCTGTACAGTTTACTGTTTTAATAAATGATCATGGTTTGACCACATTGAAATATAATATGAATTAAACACATAATAATCCATTTGCGATTCAGAAATAATTAAGCTCTTTATTTGTGTAAGTTAAAGGATTACTTATATCAAAAGATAAAACGTGCTGTGTCTAAATTATTCCAGAAAAACTGTCCAAATAATTAGATTGCATTTGGTTTCTGATATTCAATTGTTTTTGAACACTTACTTTAGAGTGTGTCATTCTTGTGAAGCAGACAAAACGTTGAACTTTTAATCATTTATTTGACTTTTCGAATCTGGCTTCATTTGATGCGTTTGGTCTGTCGAGATGCATGAAAACGTTAGCAAACTGAGAGATCGTGTTGACCTATTACGTAAGATTTTAAGGAGGTTGATTTGTCTTCTAGTGAGATTATTGTAGATATTAGCTGACGCTTGGGGATGTAAGGTAGTTTCGTGGGACGAGATGATTTTGCTAGCACGGATTCACTACCCTAGTTTCTCTCACTATTAAAAAAACAGTGATGATCCATATTACCACTATTCTCAGCTCTTCGTTACTTATTAATATAATAAGTTATACATATCTGTTAAACTCGGATATTTTTATTTTGAAATATATCTATTCACAGATAAAATCCTACCCTCGAATTATAGAAAATAGTATTGGTCAAACACTCTGTGTTAAATCGAAACGAGCTGAACGAAGACAAGCTAAGATTGAACGTAAGAGAAAAGAAAAACAAGCTAAACTTCAAGAATTAACTCGCCTACGGAATCTAAAATTAAGTATGCTAGCTGGAAAAATTGAAAGAATTAAACGTACTTGTGGTCCAGGATCATTATTACTTGATGCTAATGAACTGATTGAATCACAGACTAAAGAATATGATAGTAATGATAATAATAAATTAAAAAATTCGACCAAGGTAGATGTCCTAGATGTTGCTGAATATTTAGATGAAGATTGGGATCCTGAAAAGCATGAAAAGTTGTTGGACTCAATGTTTGGAAAACATTATGAAGAAATAGATGAAGAGATAAAAAAGCCAGAGTTTTCGGATGATAGTGATCTAGAAGTGGAGCCTTCCATAGATGATGGGCACGATTCACACATGAAACAAGTAAGATCCATAAATTTGTTTTTATTTTTTTTGTCTTGTTACCGTCTTCCACTGCTAAGAATATTTTGGACACATTATTTCACTTGACTGGCCTCAAATTAGATCTAGAATTGGAAGCAAAAGTAAATGCATCCCCAAAATCTGAACAACTAACGATAGTATAATAAGAACAGTATATATATAAAATTTACACAGCAATATGCAAGTATCATTTCAGTTCATCTGCTCTAGGTTATTCATTGAAAATGGACCAATTGGTATTCTCCAATTAGATCTTGTTACAAACATGCACTATTCAAGCCTGCATCCTGCTAACAGATCTTTATTTCACTATATAGTAATTGCTCTCTTTAATATAATGAAAATTTACATTTGATTTGTCATAAATCTTCCAAAGTATTCATGACAGCTCTATCTTCATACTTGCATAAAGTCAAACGTTTTGGTTTACCGACTAAATGTTTGGTTCTTTTGATTCTATCATTTGTGCGCAATATTGTATACCTTTGGCAGTTTGCGCGTACAAACAAAACCTGAGATCTAGCATAAATTCGGCTCACTTAGTTGAATCGATTTTCATAATTATTGATTCACTTAATAATATGACTACTCTATAGTCTAAATGCCTTGTATACATTCTCAACTTGGTAACTAGGGGAGCTTCATTTTATGCTATTAGACAATATAACGAAACTGTTGGCCCTATTATCTTCTGCTTGTCAATCGTATTTTAAATTGATATTTCCACCGTTTCACAATAAATTATTTCCTTTTGTTTTTATATGAGATCAGCATGAACCAGAAACATCTATTAATAATGATTCTGGAGACAATGTACCACTAAAACACTCGAGCAATTTGAATTCTAACTACAAACTATCTACTGCAAATAATAATAAGTCAATGCGTGGAAAACGGAGACTTTATGAAGCATTAGAGAGAAGTAAACCAATTTTCAATCCTGATGATTATCCAGACTATGAGGTAAGTGATATCACTAAGTACGCGTTAAACAGTAAGGATATTAATACGTCTGATTTAACTGTTCTATTTATACAAACAGATAAACTTCAAAATGTTGTTGCTTTGGTTCGAATTATAGTGTGGCTGAAGTGCTAGCGTATCACTACCAATCAGTCAGACAGCTACAACGTAGGATCAGGCACATATCTGCATCGGTCCAAGTTGCCATACCTCATTAGCACAACAAGATGAACAACGAATTCATAGAGGTAGTTAATTCAGTGGTGGTAATATATAAAAGAAAGATTGCATATAAAGATATAGTACAGGGAGAAAGGATTAGTTGGTAGAAAGAAAGATATAAAGCAATCTTAACCTCATAGTGTAAGGGAAGACAGAGAGTGCATACACCTACGCCATTGTGACCGATTCAGAGCCATGTCACCCAGAGTCTCCAATCATTGGTTACGATAGTCACGCGGACCCCAACCAAGTAGTCTGCATCTACCAACATGGCTAAGACTAGAAGTTAGTGACTTCAAGCACTGATGTCACGTTTAGGTTTGACCGTCCCTAACTTTCTTTCAACCATCCCCAACACTAGTCAGCATTACGCGTGGTAGTAATCGGTGTTCAGGCATACGTAACACGTGGCCCAACCATCTCAGTCTATGAAGATTTACTATACTAGAATTAAAATTTATGGTTAGCTTCCAGTTATTTATTATTAGCCCATCAACTATATATGTTCTGTAATGATGTAATTATTAAATATTAGTATTAACCTTAATATGTGTCATGTTTTAAAAAGTGAATCCGTGCAATATCACTTGTTTAGCATACTGAATTCAACTATCTTAAATACAGATTAAAATCTGTGGTTTGAGATAGTATTAAATTGTCAAAAATGCTCATGATTATTGTTCACATAAGATAATTTTGTGACATCACCACTGATGAACTGTTCGGTTGTTTGTATCATTATAATGTGTTCCTATACTTAGTCAATAAGAATATTTTCTATTACAACCATGATGAATACAATCTGTAATTCAGAATAAATATAAACAAAAAAAACTATGATTTTCTATAATATTTGATAATAACTTCATTATTATCTCTTCTAAATGTTTTGCAAATACAAAGGATACATTACACGGCGTCTTATATTTCTCACTATTTTATTCCATCCTCAAGTCTCTAGTTTAGACTGTTCATTTAATTTCTTTCCATGTTTATGAGTAATGTGCATACTTTCCATTGTTTTGTTATATTTCGTGTTGTGTTGCACATGAGAAAGTAATACTAAGTATTAAAAGTACATGTGATATGGATATGGATATTGTATTACAACTTTCTATTTCATGTTTATATTTGCAACAATTAATGTATGCATTTTCTCAGACCAAGATAATTTATGTTTGGTGTTTATATACAATAGATATGTGATTATTAAAGTTAACAGTAACCTAGATTCCGACCAAAATTAACCTATAGACCGTCAGATTTCTAACTTAAAATGAAACAATACTTTTCCAACGAGTGTAATCTTTTGCGACAATATGAGTATATGCTACCTTTAAACATAGGCTGCAACACTTGATAATTAACATTCAGGTGATGTCGTCTGAGTGCTTTACAGTTTGAACTAGAATTCAACCATTAATGACTGAGTTTCAATCACAGTATTCGTCTATATATATGACCCAAGGGGTGTTTGTTTGGTTATTAACTGGAACTTCTCGGACATGTTTCGATTTTTCATATGTCCTCTGGTTACACTAAATCAACAGAGCCATCAAAACCGATTCTGTCTGAGATAATTTTGTTTACTCAGTTGCCCTCTCCATTAGTTTATTGTAAATCGATGTGATTCTCACTGTTTAAGACGATGGTATTGAAACAATTAAAAGAGTCTTAAATTATAAAAACCTGGTACCTTCTATCCTGATCTTACCTTGACTTGAGTAACTTTGGGTCGCGCCATCTGTGCGATCGTGGTTATTAACTTTTCATGTTGTTATTCGTAGTTACACTATTGTCTCAAATCATAAAATTCATTCAGCGGTCAACGCACATTATCATAATGGCGGCCTTATCATCGTCTGTGTTAACTAATAATCAGTATCTCAATAATCGATCGTGTCCTGTGTTCCACTGATAGAAGGATTCTGTTTATGCTGTATAATCTAGTCAGTAGTCAGTAAGCTACTTGATCAATGTTTTCGGTCTGCGTTTTGCTCACTTTGAAGCGTTTACTTGATTGTCATATTGATCGTCATCATCACTGTTGGCTTATAAATATTTATGATTATTTAGTGATAGAGTAGTGAATGTCATATTAATTGAAATCTGTTGGTTATCTTCTACAATTTAAGGAGTTGTCTGTGGTTCTGTCGTCAAATCAGTTTCGATAATTAGATTTCAGGTTGAAATATCACTTTATCTGTCTTATTTAACACAATCTCTATTGCTTATACAATGGATACCTGAGTTAGAGACTTGTAGTTAGTTCTCACTTAACGATGGATTGTTGTAATTCTAAAAGTAACAAGCTAAGCCAACAAGAATCAAATACACTGAATAACCATGTTCAATTTATCATTAGCGTGATACTGTGATGTGACTTTGATCAATTTTGTCATATGGTCATTGTTGTAATTGTTGTTTCCCTTAATAACAAATATGTGTAAATCTCGCAATCTATAGAAATATTTTGAAGAATTTTATCAGTTACATTGTGAAGATATTATACCCGGTCCTACTTCCAATGAAGACGTTTACTGTCGTTTCAAATATCGTAATGTTATGCCAAATGATTTTGGCTTAAGTACAGAAGAAATACTAAAAGCTGATCCTAAAGAATTGAATGCATGGGTATCATTAAAACGTATCACAGCTTATTTGTAAGTGTTGTTTATTGTTACTTGTATGTAATATTCTTACAAATTCATTTTATCTATCTAGAAAATAAAATTACTTAGTTCGAAAATAGGGAAAAATAATTGTTTTAATCCACTTCCTTTACTTATTTGTTACTTCAGGAGAATGGAAAATTTCAGAATTGCATCATCATCTGTAGCCTTTAAAACCTGACTTTTTTAGAATCGTCATTACTCTTCGATTACTCTATACACTACTTGAGATGAGCGGTTCATTTATAAAATGTTGTTAGTTTATATCGAATCTATAATATAATTAAAATTGGATTGTTATTTATATTTATCTTTCACATCCCTATTCAAGCACAGTATTCTGGTTCAAGTTTCTTGAAATTATATCTGTCGATAAATGCTTTTCTAATTTGTATAACTGTTCAGATGCATATCATGTAGTACACTCAGTTGAACTACTCAATTTACTGAGATGTATACGTTATTCTTCATTAACTTAAGAGTTATTATCTTTTGAGAAATTCGTTGTTGAAAATCCGTAAATATGTTATTTGACGTTTTCCCTTTATATTATGCAATCTGTTTGATAGGTCACATGAAGAAGAAATGAGAGACCAAGAACTATATAGTTCTAATTATCAAATGAAACGTAAAATGAGTGTTTTAGGTTCATTAAATAATCCAAACGCTACTTGGTATCCTAATGAAAATCAAGATATTGAAAGGTTAGCTAATTATTGTGTTTATGTGTTTGTGACTATAAATTATTTCCTAACATTTTGCACTAGTATCATGTAACTCAATATCATCACGTAAATAATTTCAGCTTGTTGAAAAGAATTACTGAGAGTCTAAAAAGATAAAATGTATAGGGAATCAGCCGTTTAGTAATAATTAATAGCAATGATAATAATCATTAAAGAGGAAGAATGTATTTGTAAAATCTCAGCGAATATAAATATCCGATTATTTTGTTGTTTGATTATATTTTCCTTGAAAAAGCTTGGACCAGATTGCCAGACGAAACCTTGGATTTACTTCAAATTCTTTCGCTGAGATTTTACAAATACATTCTTCCTCTTTAATGTCACACATTAACTCGGCGCTCAAATATTGTGAAACTATTCGTTCAAATTTAGACGGAAGTTCTTATTAATTAATGATAATAATCCTTCATATAACCACTACTGTATACCACTTGATCTCGTTTCTTCTTTCTGCCATGGAATACTCTGTCACTGTGATGTTTCGCTATTCCAATAAAACGAATGCTTTTCTAAGAAGGCATAAATACTTAAATATGATAAATAAATGTCCTTATTGAGTGATGCCAAACACGTGGGCACTGCGTACCTTAGTTTCCCCATAAAAGAACAACTGGATTATTCCTTATTATTAGTTTTGAGTTTGTCAGCAGTGTTCATCCATGAAATCTCCAAATCAAAATAAGGTTTATTAAGTTCCACAGGTAACAAGATTTTGTTTACTAGGTAAGCCGTTATCCATTATTCCACAATATAATTTGTAATAAAACTTGGAGTTTTGATATTTAGGAGTGTATATTAACAAGTTTTATGTGATGATTGGTTTTGTTTTCAAATTTTACAATAAAATGGTGTCTGAGCTTTTATTCATGAAGAAATTGATTTCACTTTTCTTACATTTCCATCGTAAGCTCAGGATTGTTTTTATCATTGTACGTTCGTTGTTATATATAGGAAAGTTTTTTCAAAATTTATTGGTTTGAAGTTAATTTTTATCACGAACAAATATTTATTTCACTAGTGTGTTAGACTATTTAGCTATATTTCCCTTTTAATCTCATACTTCGACTTAAGGATTTCATACTTTTTGGGCAAGTGAAACCGACTTCCTATCGTAATAAGTTTATGGTAGGTGAATAGTGGCCGAAAAATGGAACATTCGACCTACGAAGTCAGTCTAACGTTAAATGACAGCAGATGTTCATCTGTAACATAAGATTACGATCACGTTTTTTGACCTTTAATACACGGTATCTTATAGGATCCGCGTCTAGTGGTTAAAGTTGTGAGACGTTAGGACTAGGAATTAGAATTAGGGGTTTTTTCACGAACTGACATCAACTATAATTCTAAAACGATATTTAGCCAAATAGATGAATGAATTTCGCGCCAAAATCTGATTGGTTCGTCCGTTAATTATAGTCTCGCTAAATATCTGATACGCATCCTAGTCGATTCTCAGATAAAATTCACCAATCAGAACGTCCTGTGCTTTGACCAATTACACGGACTGACAACAACTAACCTTGAGCACTCACACATTGTCCAGACTTCTATCAGGTCAGGATGCACTTTTTCAAGTTCGGGCAAGAGAATACAGTAGCAGACAAACCTTCCACTAGTCAGTGTAACTCTGGCACTCTTGAGTTTTCATAAATGCATAGTCAGACCATAATAACTGCAAATAGAGAAATATAGCTTATTCACGATCTATTTACAAATGATCAAGAATGGAATAAGGAGTGAATAATGAGTTGGCAGTAATTAAGGAACTGTTAAATGTAGTCTTTGAGTCCAACTGAAGCTTACAATACGAAGAGTATGGGAATTTTATAATCCTGTTACTCAATAATTATACAATAGATATACACATAATGGTTGTAAAATAGTTCCAACAGTTAGCACCTTCTGAGAATATTCGTCCTACCATAGCAATCCACTATTCCTTCATTCTTAGTACCTTTCTTAACTATTAGTACGACGCCAAACTTTTGCATATAATACAGCATAAATACTTTTGAATTGTGTCATTTGTAAATTAGAAAGGTCAGAATAATTCGTTGTAAGTGTCAAGTTGTATTCAGTATAACAATAATAAAATAAATCGTGTTCTCACACAACGAATCAATGAGATTGAAGATTATGGGCTACTCCATGTGTCTGTCAGTTTAATATGTAATTTAGTGGCCTTTAGTATCTTTTAATTGATCTTCTTAGTTGATGTGTCGAAGTATCACCCGATATATCCCCTTTAAAATAAAGTTTTGGCAAAAGAGTTTTCTTGATGACTATGTTGGAGTTTGCCCTATTTTTACATTCCGATTCATATTTTTTGACGAAACTGTATTGGTAGCCGTTATTTTGTAGTGTATTTTTTAGTATATCTACATTATTTTCAAAACATAATAGTCTGAATCTATGGCTGAAACATACGACCAGATTTATTCCTTATTGAAAGCTATAAAGCTATGAAAATAAGTATACTGACCAGTCTGTATATCTGTTATGATGGACGGTGTCCGAAATCTGATACTGATACACGATGTGTTACGCGCTAACCCCCCCCCAACACAATAATGGATGGGAAAGTATATTGGGTGGGTTACCTAACAAAATGCACAAATACTCATTTATATATATCCAACTCTGAACCTTTGGAAATCAATCAATTTCTTAGCCTATGAAACATCTAGGTCCGTCAGATCACTGCCGGTTGCCATTGATTGACCTTCTCACTAGGCTACTTCTGATGAGTCCACTCTATCAGTATCCTTTCTAAATGAATTTCTTTTTATGGAATCGTCTATCTTTCTAGAAAGGATAATACTAAGGAAAGCTATATTGTTATCATACTCCTCTTCGCTAGTAAATTTGATAGTTGGGTGAATTTTCTTGATATTGTTCAACAGCTATTGTTTATTAATACTGTAGTCACGCACGGTTAGCTTGTCATCTATATATCGACAGTAATAACCTAGCCTATTCGGATATCTCCCCTAATTTTCTACTGTGTCTAGAAAAATATTAGCGAACATCGGACCCTGGGAAGATCCCATCACTACTCCATATATTTGTCTATATAATTTTTTATTAAGCATGAAGCAGATATCCCTTGCTCATCTCAGCAAGAGCTTCATTTTATTTCCTGCTATTGGTAACTTGAATTTGTCCACATATGTAGTTAATGGTTTCTGTCAGTGGAATATTTGTGGGCAAAGATAAAATAGTTTTATCTTTCATCCTATCTTCTACTACGTATACAAGGTTAACTACATCCTTAACTATGTACCTAACCAAGTGTTGATGTTGTGATTCTAATACGTTCACCAACCACTTTGCTGTTAAATGTTGTTGTGATTTTGAGATATCTAAAATCGGGTCTAAAGGAACCACTGGTTTATGAAACTTATGTTTGTCATAGAACAGAAAGGTATATATTCCAGAAGGTCCTAGTTCGTCATATGTTTACTGAAAAAAGTATCGCTGTTGTTTTAGGTGTTTTAATCCTGTAGTTAGTTGGTGACCGATCTTTTTATTGAGGTTCTCACACTATCCAAGTTTTTGGAGTTTGGTCTGACCATTCAGAAGAATATTCATCTTATATACATGATCAGTGTTGCTTAGAATTTCGGTGCTTTATCCGTTATTTGACTTAGTGACTTATTTCTCGTTCGATCTACAGTAGCGTAAACGTTGGATATAAGCTTGTAATCCATAAAACAAGAGAAAATATTCGTTCGTTGTCTTTGAAGTTACTGACTAGTCCTTATTTGTGATTTGTTTTCTTGTGAATACTTTTGATATGAGAAGCTCTAATTCTTATCTGGGGTCCGAAAAATGTATTATTCTCAACCATGTATGAATTCCGTATTTCCATAACTTAAATAAAATCAGTACATATTCGTAACTTTTCGATGGACTTCATATGCAGCTGTTTTATTTGAAATCAGTTCTTGAATTTACGGGAAAATACTATTTTACCTTATGATTTTTTTATAACACTGTCATGCCAATGTTTCAAGTAGTCGTTTTTGTAAGTTTTCATTTAAATTGCTTTCTTATGCAATAAAACTGATAAAACTTTGTGATTTTATGCGGGGTTTCACAAAACATTAATGTAACATAATCCTTTTGTTTTTATTTACCAATATAATTCAGTAGTAGTGGGTCATCGAAAAAAAAGCGCAGACGTCATAAAAAGAAAAAACGATTCTGTTCAGAGGCTCAAGCAGTCAAACTCAGTGATAATGCCAACAATAATAGCAACAATGTTAATCCGATAGAACAAAATGAAAAGGATACCGAAAATTCAGAAAAACGGGTGAAATTAGGAAAAACGAAAAAGAAGTATGTTAAAGACGCAAACAAATTAGACACAAAGAATATTTTTAAGTCCCGTCTTCAAGCAGCTGGTATAACCTTGAAAGAATATCATCGTACAATGCAGCGAGAAAACAATTGTAAATCTGAATGCGTCAATAAATAGAATATCTCTTGATTTGAAAATGGTTATCTTCAACTTAACCAATTTTGTATTCCATGGCCTTAAATGGGAATCTATGTATGCGTCGTACTTCGTTGTTGCGAAGTTGAAACATTCTATAACTGATATACTTCGCAATAATACAGTCAAAAAAGTAGAACTGTAGGTTAATATAAACGAGAACAGAGAGTTTATGAATATAATATCGTCACGACGATATCAGCTTTTAGATCACATCTGAGAATGTCACTTTAATACAGAAGGTGGATACTAGCAATAACTTCTTGACATGGAATGTTGGTACAAGAATAACGAAAATTTTTTATTCATCCACTGAGAAGACGATTTTCATACTCAGAATGAATGTGACTCAGCATTCAGTGATGGCAGTTCGTGAACCAGTTGGTGAACCTGGTAGTGTCAAGGAAAATTCGTCATTCTCACGGGATATATGCTTGTTTACAGTTCTGGACAATAATTCTCGTCTAGGTTTAATAGTCAGGCAGATAAGTGGTTGCAAGCGTTTTCAGCAGTTAGGTTGAGGATTTGTCGTGAAGTCGACCAACCATATAAGGCGTTTTTATACAAGTATTTTGTTCCTTGTTAGGATCTGTATTTAGGGACGGTTCATGTAATTAAAAGATAACCAAATTACTCCAGATCAGAGCACACCTGAAGGACTTTTTCGCAAGTGACCACAAATAATATGGGTTCTTAACCTTCCATAAATGTGGGTCTAAGTATTGTTTCTTTATCGACAACATTTCCAAAATCACTGAGAATCATACTATAGGTCGGTTTATAGCTTAGATAACAGATCCTCACATACTTGCTGAAGCATCTCGACTTCGAAAAATTTTATTTATCCCATTAAGTTGGGGTATTTAGGTTTAAGTGTTACAAACCCGATTGACAGCCATTAGGCCGGTCATAATATTAAGGCCAGTAATGTGGCTATTATGCTTTAACATTTCCAGGGGAATCTAGTTTCTGGGGACAGTAGTGAAGCCTACAGCGACGCCAGACATAACCTCCGCATAGTTGGGAGGCTCAATGGTCCATCAATTCAGCGCTTCAATCGAAGTTGTCACATATAATCCGTGTAGAATGATTGAGAGCCTACTCAAATTATGCAGGAACAGTGTGAGCAACCAGCTAACACCGAAGTCACACCTTGTGGTTAATGCCTAACGTAGAACACCCTTTCATCGTATTCAGGTACAATAGCTACTTTCATGACCGTGCAACATAAACAACGTTATTCAAGAAATGTAATAGTAAGAGTAGGTGGGAGGAATAGTGTGGCCGTCGCTGCATGGCCCAGTCAATAAGGTGCGAACAACAAATGCCCGTCGGTTGTCCTTGACCTCGGCGTGAATCGGTGAAGTGTCTGACATTCAGTGACCTGAATCATGGGTGAATTGGCTAGGGCTCAGTGATATCTTTTGGCTCCACAACTCTATGCGAACTCTTTTTATGTATTATTGACCACGCCTTTGAAAATAGCGTGTAAGTGCTATGTCAAACATAAATTAATTATAACCTCACTAATATGAGCTTGAGACTTGCTGTACTCTTCCTGAAACTGAATACCGTGGTTTGCTTGATAACAGAAGAGACGATCGTTAATTAATACCTAAAGTAATCGCCCTGAGTATCTAAATAGGTGAAGTAAAAATTAAAGGTTATTTTCAATGAATCTGATGAAGATGTTTCTACTGTCCATCATGGTGAGTAATTCTATATTTCAGTGAATCTTGCCACGAAATTCTGCACTTATGTCGAGCTAGCTCGTCCTTATTCTAGCTTAAGTGGGTATACGTTTAAGTGTAACTTAGTTCTAAAACGTGATGGTGGTCCGTTGGCATAAAAACGGTTGTAAGCTACATGATATATCAAGTTTCTTTTCCAAGTTGTCCTACCATGCTGCACAGTTTGCGAGTTAAGAGCCCTCAGGATAGCTTAACGCTTTTTGTACCACGTACCTTCTTGATTTCCTTAATTTCAATGAGATCCAGAAAAATGATACTTTTCATTAGATAATTGTGTATGGAATGTGAAGTTACTAAACTGTATTTTAGATGAGTACTGAATGCAGTTACAAATAATTGTAGGGTTGGGCTGCCTACTGTTTAAGAAAGAATTTGCAGTGCCAATAATCGTTTGTTATGTGTAGTGCCAGTATGAAGACAATATGATGTGATTCTCTGTGAAGAATCGTGCGATTCTTAAATCGCCCACGCAATGTTAGATGCACAGAACAAATGGTTGGAATGGTTGTGGACGGAATAGAAGAAGCTTTCGCTTAACAGGCTTCCGTGTCTAGTAGCAGGGGATCACCAAATCCTCCAGGCAGGAACCTAGGTATGTTAACAATAAAAGAGGAAAATAAATTAGTAAATCATAGGGTGATACTATCCTTAGTCCTTAAGAATAGATCAAGTTGCCTCTTAAAGGATTCCTGGGAAGTCGCTTGGACTAGCTCGGCCGTCAGCGAATTCCAGCATAAACAACCCATAAGGAGTAGAAGTTGTGTCTACAGTCCGTTCTGCTATATTGTGTCTCCAGTTTTTGGGTGTTACCTCTTAGGTTATTGTTGGGACTAAGCTTAAGTTGGTGTTTGAGAGGATGTCCAGAAGTGTTAGGGATACTGTAAGCCATCAGAAGGTCACCTCGAAGACGTCTATACTCCAATGGGTAAAGGTTAAGTGAATGGAGGCGCTCTTCGTAAGGTTTTAATTTGAGTCCTCGAACTAATTTCGTGGCTCACCGTTGCATACGTTACAGGGTGTCCTAATCCTTTTGGAATGAGGAAGGAACTACTATTTTTCCGTACTCTAAATGGGGACGGATAAAACTGGCCAAAAATGTGCTTTAATGTTACCAGTGCAAGGTTTGCTCGGAAGGCATTTTTGTCACAGTTAGCATAAGACTTTAAATCATGGGGCACCAGGACTCCTAAATCTTTTTCGACTTGGGATACTACCAGAGAGGAGTTTCCTAAGTTATAACTGTAGTCTGCGACATGTTGAAGATGGACTACTTTACACTTTGAAGTGTTAAAGGCAAGTCCGTTATCGTCTGCCCACCTTTGAAGTCGAGTCAGATCCTCCTGAAGTGCTTGTATATCCTCTTGGTTGCGTATCTCTCTCCAAAGTTTCACGTCATCGGCAAAAAGTAATAAGTCTGACGTCACCTGTTGAGGAAGATCACTTATGTAGGTCAAGAAGAAGAGAGGTCCTAGTACTGAGCCATGGGAGACCCCACTAGGACATTCCATAGCCTGAGATAAAGTGAAATTAACACTGACCTTAAAATGTCGATTTTTCTGGTGTGACGTGAGCCAATCGATTAGAGGTGGTCTGATACCCAATCGTTTGAGCTTATTGATAAGACATGTATGGTTAACCTTATCAAAAGCTTCTGAGAAATCTAGGTAGATGATATCAACCTTCCCCTAGTGATCAAGGATGCTTGTCCATCTGTCCACCTCAGTCAGCAGGTTGGTAATACAAGAGTAACCCTTCCTGAAACCATGCTGTTGGGGTGAGAAGAAATTTAAGGACAGTAAATAGTCATTTATACCATCTCATATCAGGGACTCCATGATTTTTGAAGGTATCAAGAGAAGAGCCAACGGTCGGTAACTTGAAGGTTCGCTGCGTCGACCTCCTTTGAAAATTGGTGTGATGTGAGCCAGCCTCCAATTTTCTTGTAGTTTTCCCCGACTTAGCGAGTGTGAGAACATCACGCTAAACGGCGTTGCCAGTATGGCGAAATGGACAATGTCCGGGTCAGGAGAAGTGTCTAGTCTTAAGTTCTGAAGTTTCCGGAACACCAAGTCAGCGCTTAGGTTCACTCCGGAAAGTCCTGTGGAATTGCAAACGAAACTGCCATCAGTAAAGTTAATGTCGGTCGGTTGAAATGTCTGGGAGTAATGTTCAGCCAGAAGGTTAGCGGCGTCGCCATCGTTGTTGGTCGGGCCGTTAAGACCTACCAGTTGTGAAACTCCAGTTTCGGCTTGACGAAGAGAGGGTGCATAACGGAATAAGCTTTTAGGATTGGAGGCAAATTTTTCCATAAGCTTTGTCTGGTACTGAAGTCTATCTCCTCTTATAGCCTTCGTGCATATATTCTTGATATGTTTGTATTGCCTCAAGATTGTTAAACTCGAGGTTATGAACTTGGTGCACCTCTAAGCAAGAACGTATATAAACAGCTACTCCGCCTCCAAATCCTGATTTTCTGTTAGTGCGGAACAAAGACATCCCTGGTAATGCTAACTCATGGTCCGAGATTTGAGAAGAGATCCAGGTTTCAGATATTCCTATCAGATCGGCCTTATTAGCATTGCTAGGTTCATGTAGTTCATCCAATTTGTTTGGTAGACTTGCGGCGTTCATATATAAGCAGTTTATACTTTCAATTTGGAACGCTTGAGCTTCGTCCTGTTTGTCTGTATGAGCCTTACGTGAACGGACAGGTAGCCCACCTATATGAGGATTGCCGAGGTGGTAGGCCCTGTCATTTACGCGTCCTTTTTATTGTCTAGACAGTTCACAAGTGGAATGATCAGCTCCAACTTGCCTTTGTATTTGGTCCTAGCTTCGTATGGCCTATCCGGGTGCATGTGGATTCCAGGTGGCAGTCGACGTCTGTTTGAACGAAATGCTTCCAGAGTTGCAGCCGCCAGATTGGAAGATGGGAAGGTTGTCTTCATTAGACAGGGTCTACAATCACCATCCTTCTTGGCTTGTCTCGTCACATTCTGAGTCAGTATGTTTTTGAGCCTCAAGGACTGTTTGATGAATTTCCATTCCCTGATGTCTGTCTTTGATTGAGTAGGGTCAGTATTTTCCGGTATACCTTGCACGATTATATTCCTCCGGCGGAAAAACTGATCGCGAGTTTCTTTGGAGATATTCCGGGTGAGATTGCGCTCAGAATACAGTGTGTCAGGCAGTATTCTTACATTCCCATCTGATTTCAGTAAATGACTCGCTAGTAAGACATCCTCTACGCCGGTAACATTCTTGAGTGTTACACGAGGTAGCCTCGGGTGATTTTGGTGCTTAGATCCTTTTCCCCGAGTGAGCCGGTGGCTGTCAAAGGCTTTATTCTTGGAAGTCCAAGTTTCTTGTTCAATTACCCCCAGAGCATCCTATCATTTTTGTCTTGCAAACTGAGAGGAAGTTCAGGGTTGTCTTTGAAGTTCATGACTATGAGAGAGTCACCACGAACCGTTTTTGTCGCCCCAGGTTTTCCAGTGCGTTCAGGCTTAGCACCTTGTTGTTTGGGGGTCAAATCACGTTTATGAATCCTTGGCTCTTTGATAACCGGACAGACAATCTTGGGGGTAAACTGTGCGACCAGATCACCAGTTGACTTCCGTTCGACAGCTGGGATGTCCAACTTAGACTGTGACGCCTGGCCCTTTTTAGCTCTTTTTACATGGGTCCAATCACCTACAGAGTTTTTAGGAGCCACTGTCCCGTTCAAGGACCTTGAGCTGTGAGACCTGAGTTCGATGAGGGAGTCGAGTAATCATGGTGCTGAGTTTCAGCGTGTCATCATTAAGGCTGTTGCATGCTCTGTCGTTGGTAGAACTGTAGACATCCCTGTTCTGGTTTTCAATGAGCTCTCTTGTTTGTCTACCCATTTTTTGACTCTTTTCCCAAGTTGCTCTGCAGACCTGTCAGTAGGACAATGATATTACTCAGCAAGACTGCAGCATCCGTGCTGCACGTAACACATTCCCACTTACGATCCGACTTCTTGAGTCTGTCGTAAGCAGTTGCTGTGATATCTGTGCACGCTTCGTGCAACCAACCTTTGCAGTTGTCGCACTGCATGCCAGATATAACAGCAAAACGGCATCCAGGTCGTTCGCATGAATGTTTGATGACTGTATTGACGTAAATTGTGTTGTAGATGCTAGCAAAAGCCTAAGACAGTAAAAAGTACACTAAAAAACACACTGGAAACGGACAAAAATGGATAAAACGGATGAGGTGAACTGAACTAGTCTTTACGTGAAAAACTGAAAAAAAACGGAATAGTAAGCTGAGGCAGAACCACAGTTAACTATTAAATGGGGTGAAACTCAAAAAAAGTAATCTACCGAACGTATAGTTCAGGACGGATTCTTCTGGTCAGAAATGGTACTTTTGTTGCGTAAGAACACAGCAAAAGTTTGATAAATACAAATCACGTTAGGACTAAACTTTCTGTTCGAAAAGCGCGGTACTCGGTCAAGCATACTCGATTATATGAAGTTAGAGTAATTTGATAAGCCTGCTATATTTCCTATCGAAGTATATTAAAATGACTTAATAAATGTTTATTTGATTTGATTCATAGAAATGTGTATTCAATAATTACTTTTTGGAAGTATTGTTTTACCTTATCGTTTGATACAGTTTGATTTTGAGGCAGATACTCAAACGTTTCATAAGTTACTGTTGCTCCCTAGAATGGTGAGTAGAGATGATAGCTCTTATTATTTTATTATAGAAGAAAGAAAAGAAAGACTTGCTGTATGGAATACTTGTGGTCGTAGGTGCATTTTGTCTTCACTTCAGTTGTGGACATTTCTATACTGTTTGTAAGTTTAAGATTATCGTCACTATTTCCTTGTTAGCAAACATGGCAACATACATAATGTCATACATAGCAGCAAGAGTTGATAATAACATCAGTGACAGCTCAGCTGTATGGTTATCTGCACTTGGTCTTGGATGTCAGGGTCTGGCTATGCCAATAGGTGGGTTTATGGGAAGGAAATTCGGACCTAAATCAACAATGATTGCGACGTTGATTCTCGGGAGGTAACATTTTCACATTTTCAACACTTTCTTGCTTTATGTAAACTTTTGTAAAGCATTTTTTGCGTTGTTTTGCTTCCAGTGAGGAAATTTATGTTACTGGTTTTTTTCGGAGCACGTTTAGATTAACGTAAACTCAACTTAAAAAAAGAGTTAGCAAGAAATCTATTTTTTCTCAAGTGATTTACGTTAAATTTGTCTTAAAGTGCTCAAGCGTGTTCACTGAATGTTTTCAATCTCAATGCAGAATGTTGCATAATTATCTTTTCTCATTAAAAGTGACGGTTTCTGTAGTATGACTTATACATATCTGATGAGTAGAAATCTTGAAGAGACAAAAATCTGAAGTCACTTAAAAGTTCTGAAACGTTTATTTAACAAAACCAGATAGTTTTATTTCTAAGGAACATATATCAGATCTCCATGTTGGTAGATGCAGACTACTTGGTTGGGGTCCGCGTGACTTTCGTAACCAATGGTTGGAGACTCTTGGTGACATGACTCAGAATCGATCACAATGGCGTCGGTGTATACACTCCCTGTCTTCCCTTAAACTAAGAGACTAAAATCACTTCATTCTTTCTTTCTACGAACTAATTCTTTCTTCCTATACTATATCCTTATTGCAACCTTTGACCTAACCACTCCTATGAATCCGGTGTTCATCTTGCTGTGCTAATGAGGTATGGCAACCTGGACCGATGCACATATGTGCCTGATCCTACGTTGTAGCTGACTGACTGACTGACATGTATGGACGTTTCAAACTTAACCTGAACTACTCAATAGACTGATATTAGATTTTATTACGTTATGCCTCTAGGCAATAAAGCTGTTTATCTTCGTATACAGCCGTTTTTATCAAACGATAATAAAATCCAGATGAAATTGTTGGCTCAACCTTTACTCTCAATCTGTAGGTTGATAATTAGACATTCGGTTAGTCGTGCTCAACGTAGAACCTGACGCATGTTTGCACTAGTTCAAATATTTACTCCCAATTGGCGCGTTGGGAGGTTGTCCAGACAAATCTTAGAGTAATAACAGTAGTAATAACCGATCAAACTTTCAGAAAGTTATTTTAGGCCTTGACTTTGGAGAGTATTTGTATCTATTTTTTGAAACATTATTATTCATTCCATCATTGTCTATTCTAAATTTGTAGAAGATTATTTTAGTTGTTATAATATGTATACGTTGAAGCACACCGAAACTTTACGGCATATCAATTATGGCACTTTATATTTTTGTTATTTGTTTAGTGGGAGCATTCTGTTAACATATATTGTTGTACAGAAAACGTTTATTGGTGTAGTTTTTACTGTTGGGATAATGTTTGGACTTTCGATGGGGATCGGTTATTCCGTCGCAATAGCTTGTGCAGTCTCTGTAAGCATGAATGTTTTGATGGGTCCTAAATATTAAGCTCTTAATTTGTTTTGAATTTATGCCATTCTTAATCGAATGTAAATATAATGCTTCCTTTTCATCGTCAAGTGTGCTTAGCTCATTATTTTATATACAGCTAAACAATAAATTATCAAGTTGACATTTTATAACTTCGGTTTGGGATTCGCATTACGGATATGTCTCTGTCGATACTTGATTTATCGTCACTGTCTATAGAGCATTATTTGATTGCCATTTATACAGCGTTTTGAATTTGGGTTTGAGGAAATTCTGTAACTTCTTAGAACTTGTGCGCCTGCCAAAATGCTAAACTCTTCATGCTCATTTAGTTTCTGATAATTAAACCAAAGGATTACAACAACAATTTACGTGGATGAACACTTGAATTGTAATCGAATTGAGCAATTATAATTGGAATCAGTGCTCGGGTACATCTCTAGAGCTCGAAGTTTTTAATATTGAAAACATCTTAAATAACTTGTTTTCGGCACTTATCAGTACAGTTTTAATCAAAAAATCTAAGTGGTTAACTAATTAGTTTGTAAATATTTTTTATTGCTTTCGGAACAGTCTCAGATTAGTTATATATCTAGATGTCATTATTTCTACATATATAAACATGAAACGCTAAAAATCGTAGGAATCTTTTGAAAAAACAAACTTCGTACCAGTGTAAGTGTAAACTTTTTTGAAATAGCATAACAAGTTTCAAGAAGCTGAAGAAACTATACATTCTGTATAGTTCAATGATCAAACATCATGACTGACTAAACAAGGAGTCATTATTTTGTGTCCACATCCTTTAGATTCTAAATGCATATCCAAGAAGAACAAAGAATAGGTACTTCTAATTATTATTTGAAAGCTGAACGATATTTTATGTATATGTTTCAAATGGTACTAGTTATCTCAACTACCAAGGTTGGTTATATTTCTTTCACAATTATGGTAACAAATTTTTCAAAAATGAGCAGGTATGTGTAAAAGTATTGGTTTAATGTGTACCTGCATCCAGATGACGAGTCTCAAATGGGACGAAATGCTCGTCCTGGATTTTAATACTAGCCACATCTTTGTTTATAAAAGCTTGTGACTTGAAGCAATATCGAGGCAGTCCGCACAATATTCACATATGTCAACAAGAGACTGTTCAATTGCAGTTCTAAATAACAATGTGAAGATACAAGCAAACAATACCAAAAGAATTTTATGTGTTTAGTTTGAAGACTTTACAGTGACCTGGAGTTCTTTATGTCTAAACAAATTTGTCACTATAAACCAATCATTCGTAGCCCTATATATTTCTTCAATGCATAAAATCTTGTGTGTACTCAAAGCCGAATCCAAAGTATGAAGTTAAGCTCTACGTTCTACTTAGTTTGTTTGAAAGCGGAAACACTAAGGTTACAATGTAATTTTGATCACCATAATGTATATATTTTTTAATTTTTAGTTTATTCGTGCTTATCGTCGAAACATTTTTTTGGTTTTTTATCCTTAGTGGTTTCCTGGAAGAAGAGGATTAATTGTTGGTATAATTGTTGGAGGGTTTGGATTGGGCTCCCTAATTTTCACACCAATTCAAACTGCATATATCAACCCATCTAACTTAAAGGTGGATAGTCAGACAAGGTAAAGAAATTGTTAACACTTAGCATTGTGAAGAGAAGTGACTGTTGCAACTTTTAGTTTTTATTTAGTACATTCTAGTCATTGTTCGTTTAGTAACAAAGTTTTCTCAGAAAGTTATAGGTCAAAATAATAACGTTTAATCAGTTATTAACGCATCTATATTGTCAATCTAGTCTGCTCGCCGCACTAAGTAAAATGATATTTTATGAATAAAAAATTGTTTCGGATTTGTAATCGTTAAAAGCCTAATTGTCTATTATCTCTCCTTCGTAATATAAAAACAACTCTTTAAAAGTAACATTATTTACCATTTGACTTGAGTTTGTCGTTTTCCCGGCAGATACCATTCCATTAAAGCCATCAGTATTATTTTACACAATAAAGACTATCTGAAAACTTTGAATCTTCTGTACAACAGAAAACGTCATTTTCTATTTTACTTTTTTCGAATAACTTCTGGTTATCTAAAAATGTTTCGTTGCTCTGAAAAACATTTTCCATGAAAACGAGTCTTATATAACTAGTTAACCGGCGTTAATATAAAATAGTCATTGTGATGAGGAAATGTAGTGAAAAGTAAATAAAACGTCGAAACTAGGACATTTTTAACTGTTTCCACGTCAAGTAAGTAGAGAAATACCATAGAAAGATAGTCAGTGAATATAAATCAATTCTTTATAAAGTTTATATAATCAGCCAGAGTTGTAAAACGTTTAATAATAACCACCAGAAATATTTCGGAACAGACGTTCACATTTTAATTCGTAATACTCAGGTTGCTAACTGGTAAACATGATGAGGTATCATAAGCTTCTGAGTATGGATATGCTGTCAGTTTTAACCATGTTGCATTATACATTTCATTGTATTATTATATTAAACTGTAGAAGTGTTATCTAAGCGTAAGTTTTTCAGATTTGGTGATCATTTATGAATGTAAGCGAGTGTTTATTTTTCTGCGAAGCACTTTATTATTGTATTGACACAAATGATTTGCATATGGTGTAAAGTTTCCTGCAACTATCGAGCGGACTAATACGACTACCATAAAGTTTCAACCCCCACAAGCAGGCTAGAAACGCATTTTAACTTCACTATGTCACCCATATTTACAGCCTTCTTTCAAGGGGCTAAAATAATCCTGAACATTTTTTTATTACATCGTAAAATGCGTTTTAATAATTAGACCTTTTAATTTCCGAGATATATTTTGAAAGAAAGAGTACTTATCTATTTATTTATTACTAGTGCTTATCTAAACGAAAGTGTTAAATTATAATTTTCATCTTTTTAGGCGTTTCACTGATCCAGAGCTTCTTGATAGAGTCCCAAATGTTTTCTTGGTAATGGGTTCAATATTAGCAGCATTGCAGTTAGTGGCATGCATACTTGTCCGCATGAAACCAATCTCAAAAGAAGTAAGTTTCTTGACCGATTTGCAAAAAATAGCAATTGAATTATTATGCTTATAAATACACTTTTTAAATGAAAATTTTAATTGGATAATGTATTATAAAAAAGTTATTCGAAGAATCATATTGACTTACTGATTATGCCTAGTTTATTGTGTATGGTCATTTTTTACGTAAGCTATTTTAATCACGTATTCCCCACTTGTCATAAGTATTTGTGTCGTTCTTTTAAATCCTTTAAACATTTGTACTAGCCATTTTCTGATGCATCACAATCTAGGGTAGTCTATGCCTGTCGAGAAAGGCTACATTCTCCGAATAACTATACATTTAGTTACAGTGTATTAAGTGAATTCGTAACAGTGATTTTATGATATCACACTACATGGCCATAGACATTTTACTTCTTCATTTCATTTACAATAATTGATGAAGCTGATGAAAACTGGTTAAGCTAATCATGTCAGTGCAGATGAAGAGTTTAAGCTGCACGCGCTTGTGATTTCCGATCTGCAAAAAATAATCATCAAGTGTTACTAATTCCTCAATATATGGTTGTTTAGGTTTGGTGCTAAATGTGAGAATATTGAGCTTCCGAATGCATGTAATAAATTACATTTTTCGATTGGTTCTTCAGGAATGATGGACATTATTTGAGTAAACTTTTGAAAAATGTTCGTGCCGAAAATATGTAATCAGTTTTCAGTGAACAAAAGTTTCCTGTCTGCGAAACCTGGAGTGGACAATCCTAACTCTCTGCCCTTATGCCTAATCCTGGTAATGCAGTTAAGGGATTTTTTGATTTCTTATAGTAATAAACATACAGGACAGAGGAGTCTCTCGGGAAATCTTCGGAATAGGAAATCAAAAGCTGTTAAACTCAAGATATTAAACTCATAACCCACTTCATTATACTGTAGATAATATTGTTGGAGATACTCTGTTATATTACTCGTGTAGAAGTACCTTTCTATCATGGTATCAGGTCAAAGTTATGAAAAAGTTAATTATCAAAGTTAATTCTGTCAACGTTCACAATATATTATATCTTAGAAATACATTCCAATATTAACAGAGCATACTACAATACATATACAAAGAGAGAAAATACTTGATTAGAATGAACTAGAAGGTTCACTAGATCTTGAAGACAATATCCTGAAGTAAAAATGTTCCTGTCTAATTTACGAACTTGCATACAACTTCTTAAATGGGTACATTTCCGTTGTGCATGTTTGAGCGCTAACACGATCCTTTACTACAGCTTTGTTTCTTTACATCTTAAAGTTTTAGCCTCTGTTATAAGAAGTATTTGAGAGCTGGGGAGACATCTACGCTTTAAAATCTTGGACACTCATTTCTAATGTTATTTTTGTAAACAGACCATTCAACCTCAATTAAATTATTCGACACAAAACCTGAGGAAATCGCCGAACTATGGAGCTTTGTTAACCACTAGCAATTCTTTCACTTATGGAATGGAATTTGTTCTAGATTGTCGACAACTGAACTGAGACTTCGTCACTTCATTGTACCGAAAGTGTAGCTTTTCCTGGAAAACCGGGACGTGAGATATTGAGTACTTGATCTCATACCTCACTGTCACAAATCCTGTAGAACGGCATACTTGTCACTACTTTTTTCATCACAGCTACAGTTTTAATAAATTAACTTGGATTCTATGGAGGGATTTCTGATATTGGTTTAATACTTGCCCATATTTCCAGACATTGTTCAAGACGATAGTTATTGATTACAAACAAATAAGGGTTTCTTGAAAATGTCATAGATATCAAATTATTTTATGTGAAGGTTCATGGCTAAAATGAGCGATCATTTAGAACTGTTCAAGGATTGCCGTCAACTTTGAGTTGTGTATTGTGTTTGATTATTGTGATGATACGTTATTAATCTTATATAGTTTAGTTTATTATAATATAAAATGTCTTTAAATAATAATGACTCTTCAGAACAGGGTTAGTAAGTCTTAATCATTAACTTAATATTAAACACTATAAAGGAAAAACGTTAAAGCTGCTCTATTTCTTCTGAACATTTGGGGATCGATGTCTAACCTAACAGATTTTATGTGGTGTTCATAATAATCATATATGAACATGTTCAGATCCTCAAAAATTAAATGCATCAAAAAGTAGATGACAATAATGTTAGTGGTTTAACAGTTACTTCATATATAACTTTTTTCATAAACATGGAGTAAGGTAGCTAAGATAATGATGGGTAAATGTTTTGTCATATTTTAGACTTCTAGCCTCATGAATACCTGTAATATCAACCGGAAAATACATTTAGTGAAATTACGGTAGTATATTAGTTGTTCTATGAAAGTTGTAAATTTTTAAGTGACACCAATGAATAAATTTGCTAGTGCGGCTAACCTGTGTGAAAAAGTAGCAAATCATGAATAATCTATTACACAAGTCTGATAAATTACGTTAAAATATATATTAAATGACTTGTTCTTTAAGGACAAATCTAAGTACCGTTTCAGATTTATTTAAATGATTTCAGATACAAGTTTTCTAAAACATCATTTTCTTGATAATGATCCCGGTTTATGCATATTTCATAAAATAAACTTTCATAACCAATAGGTTATACTTAGTATAATATACGACACATTCATGCATATGGATATAATAGTCCCCGTGGCTTAGAGTGTTTATGTTAAATGGTCATCTAACAAAATACGGTATTTTTTCACGCTTTAGGAACATGAGGACGGAAATGAAGAAGAAGAAGAAGAAGGATTAGAACGTGCAAGAATTCAAACTAGTCCATCTACAGATTCAAAAAAGAAGGAACTAGTAAATGGTGATTCAAAAGTAAGATTATCAATGACAAATTAAATGTATGTAAGATCAGTTAACCCTTTGCTTTTAATAAAATTATTTTTTAATGATATGTATAAACGAGTGTAACATGGTATGTTTGAGTTTATCAACCGAAATAATCCCTGATATATATCACACGTACATAGTTACGTCTTTGAGGGAAACGTGCGTAATGTTATTACTCAACTAAATAAAAGTTATCAATAAGACTAAATATACCATAATTATGCATAAATGAACTGCCTAAAAGCTTCAACAGTATAAAACGTGTGGCAGAAATACCTGATTCACCTGCCTGATAATCCTTTACACTTATACTAACAAAAACTTCAATCACAACTTGTGATGAAGTTGTAAACAGGATATGCAAATAAAATACTATCAATAATACGAGTGAACATTCGAAAATATTGTAAAAGCCTGTAGTTTTGTATTTTCATACTTAAAAGATTTGATTGATCAATTGTAAAGATCACAGTGAATAATGATTACAGTTGTAGATGCAAAGTTTCGACTTATATATATAAGTTGAATCTTTGCATAGTATAATTCTATAATATAATAAATGAATTAAATTCCTTAGTCTGGTAATCATGATCATAATATGGACTCTTTGTATGTTTGGTTGAAAAATCAACTTCATGTCATTGAGATGATAAGAATGACAAATGTCAAGTCATACTATGAAACATGTCTGAACTCTTGAATAATGGAGTTCATTAATCATTTACAGTCATCACAAACTCGTTATATACCAAAAAAATGAAACGTTTCATAATCAGACCAGTTAAGACACAATATTGAATTCATTGATTTATCTAAATGCTACAATGACATTGATTTTTTAAAAAACTAATGCCATTTTAATTTTGATGTTTTTGAAAAACGCTAAACTTTAAAACGTTTAGAAAAATAGTTATTCATCGTTGTCCAGTTACCTTGGATTGTTTAGTTTCGTCGTTAAAATGAATTTGTCTTATAACAACTTATCAATTACTTACTCGCTAGTAAATTCAACAAATTCATGACCATTGAACTGTTTGTTCATGTTTTCTCTGTTTTGATTTACTAACTGCATTATCTGAGGACGTTTTATTGTTAACATTTATTGTTGTTGATATAATTCTTCTAAACAGTCAAAATTACACGAATGCTAAAAATATGTAGATAAGTGTTTATTGTTTTTCCATATATTCCTGTGTTTTTCTTCCGAAACCGCAGGTAAACAATGGTTGTTAATGTACTAATAATTTGATTTCTTTTGCTATGTTTTCTTATTAGTTAAATCGTAACACTGTGGTGGAAGTAAACGTTAAATCTGGAAAGCTATTACGTCATATTGACTACTATCTTTTATTTTTTATGATGCTTCTTAACTGTTTTCCAATATCTGTTCTTACAAGTTCATTAAAGGTGAGTGGTTGATTATTTGAAACTGTACATTAAACCACAACTCAAGACATTATTTTGTAACATCTATCACGGACTAATTTTAGCTAGACTACCATCGGAGATTAGGGAGCATTTGTTTATTATTTGGAAGTAATATAAGACTCATCAGCAATTCACACCCACGATTATATGAATAGAACCTGAGAGCTTTAGGGCTAATGGATCAGGGGTCATTTTCAGACATGTGAGTTGGCATCTAAGCTTCTACATTAAAAAAATAATAAATATCATTATTTAGGTATGAGAGTATACCAAATATGCTAGTGTTAATGTGAATATTTAAAACAATATTTATACTAAGTTTAACTATTTTAATTTCACTTGCTTTACTCTCTTGATTAAATTTAGATCTTTGGACAAACGCATATAAGTGACGATAGGTTTTTGTCAACTATAACAGCTGTTACTTCTCTTTTCAACTGTGGTGGACGTGTAGTCTGGGGTGCTGTCGTGGATCGTTTTTCTTTCAAGGTAATTTTAAACTTCATAACTTATCCGTATGGAAACAACTTTTGATGGCTTTTCTTCCTGATTAGCTTCCAAAGTGATAAAATTACGTTTAGTAACTTTATATTTTGTTAACAATTCTTTCATGAAGAAGAAAAAGAAAATGATTAGGAGCGTAATTTCAGTTTTATTCTAGACAAGCGCGTATTCAAAATTTGCTGTTACTTAGGAAATAGTTTACTCTTTTCTGATGATTAATAAATTCCATTTAAGCATATACTCTATAAATTTGTTAGGAATTTCGATTTCAAGCGTATGACATATATCTCTATATCCAAGCAAAATTTAATGAAAAATTAAATACAGCTCAATTAAACACTCAGATACAGATAGGTCTTTTTATAGCGATGATATATATATATTTCCGAAAAATGATTTTAAAATATATGATGTTATGTAAGTCTGTTTGCTGATCCATTGATGTCAGCTGAACAATCACTAACAATTGATGAAATTTACATACACTGATGGCCTTAAGATCGTCGTTAACACAAGCGAATACTGAATAAATTATTTTGATTATAAATAAAATGATTTTTAATTGTGAATGGTCCAAAAATACTAGTTAAATGTACTAAGAACATTGCTATTAGAGCTACCTTAATTATGTTGATTTGTAAATTTTAGATACCAATCTGCATACAACTGTGTGTATGGAGTGTGTTATTATTTACGTTTCCTGTTATTGCATATGTAACGGGAGTCGCATTGAAAGTCTTATATGTTATATGGGCATGTGCCTTATTTTTCTTCTTGTCTGGTGTTTTTTCCATGATGCCAGCTGCAACAGGGACTATATTTGGTCCAGTAAATTTAGCTGTCAACTATGGAATGGTTTATCTCGGATTTGTAAGTTTAATTAATCAATAGTTAGCCTATTTAATAATCATTAAGTTAAAATATCACACCTTTTGTTTTTAATTCTTTGTAAAGACATTTCATCATTTTGGTCAACCTCGAACTGTAAAACTAAACAGTAATACTATTAAGTTTTGCCGATACATGATAGCATAACATTTTTGTGGATATGTATTACCTACAACAGTGTGTGTGTTAACAATGTAAAGTGATTTTACAAAAAAAGTGAATAACATTGGTCATGTATCTAATAAACTGCACTGGGTATTATTAAATTGCTAACCAAACACAAAGTTGAGAACGCCCCAGATAAACGTTTAAATACATTAATAGAAAGTCTTTCTAAGACTTATGACTAGTGCATTGACTCCAAACTTAAATGTGGTTATCGAGACATTATTTTGAGGTAAAATAATTTGTAAGAAGCGACTGAGATATAACGAGTGAATTTATGCAATTGATGACAACATATTTTATTATTCAAATTGTCATTATACACATTACCTATTAAAAACCTAAGCTCAATTACTACTATTCATGGTTCAAAGTCTGGTCATATCAGATAGATGCAAAGACAGATCATCGGTTTTCAGAGAAGTGACAGGATTCTCAAATAAAAGCGATCTCAGCCAGCCGTAACAGCAGTCGAGATACGTTTGCCATGCGAACGAAAAACCGTACATTCATTGCTTTTATCAATGTTCATTCAATGTTATTATTTCACAAAGCCTACTCAATTTAACCATAAATTGTTTGTGGGTTCTAATACCCATTTATTTTTTTAAACAGAGACCCGTAATAATTTGATTTATAAGGAGATCTGTTAACAAAAATTCATCTTAAAAGACAATTAAATTACCATTTATTTATGATCCGTTTGTTTTTATGACATTTTGGTGTTTCAAACAAGTCATTTGGATCAGTACTTTCTCTTGTGGTGAGTCTTTTCTGGAAAGCATCTCCTGAAATCTACTTTACCGTTTCTGGATGTGTATGCTTAGTTAGTAAGTGATATATTTTGCAATCATAGAAATGTCAAATTTTAAACTTCATGATAGAAATACTCAACGAAGCTCAAATAATTAAACTGATCAATAAATCCTCCAAAATTTTGAGTGTTGAGATTTATATAATCAGATCATTTTGGCCACAAGGTGATATCAGATGGAGAATCATCATAAAATCAGGTTGCCTTAGATGTCTAAAACCAGATTGCGGATATTTAACAGTGCGGCCCTTTAACCTTATGCTTCATTAAACCCTGAGTCTTTATTATTTATCAGTTAGTGGTCCAGAAATATCGTAATGTCAACAGAATCTGGTGATGACGATTTTATTTCCGTGAGTAGTTCATACTGAATGAAACGCCTGTTTTGTGCTGGTTAATTTTTAATGGTTTTCAAGCAATATTTTCACTGGAAAAAAATAGTCGTCATTTAACTAGCTTCAACCAAACTAAAGATAGAGAAGATTTTCGGGCCCGATTACACATAAAACAGAATTTAATATTTGATTCTTTTAAAATTTTTCAGTTACATCAACTATTTTATCAATCACTTACTACAATTTAAGTCTTTATAATTAGAATAGTTGATAAGATGTTCATTGATTAATGATATGAAACAATAAAATGTGATTAAGTGATCAACAGTCAGGAAATTAAATCGACTGATTTATTGCACATGTTGAACGTTAATTAAATGATTGACAATAATGGAAAACAACATCTATGTTTTAATATATCTATGTATTGCACTGTCTCTTTTCATATTTTATGAGAAAAATGTGAATTACGTAAAAATAAGGTAATCAAAACTAGAATTATTGTATAAGATCAAGAGTGATTAGTCTGGTGATCTGTTTTATTTTACAATAGACAGGATAATTTTCCTCCCATTATATAGCGATTTGATTATGAAATATGATTTCATTAGTTGGCTGACTATTCAAATTGAAATATTTTTTTTAATTTTTTGGGATTGTGAACATGTTAATTTATGAAATTTTACAGCAAACGAATACTGATATCAAATTTGCTTAGAGTGATCTATGGAACGTGACAAAGCAGATATTATGTTTAGTGTTTAACATTGGTTGGATACAAGCATTAGTTTAACGAAGCAAAAGTTCAGAATTATTAAACACCTTACAAAGTTGTTTCAGTTACTTAGTATCATTTGTGAAATATTCTGACTTATTTATCCTTCGTGAATTGTACTAAAATACTGTGATAAATTACAGCTTCATAACGTTATTGTTAGTTAAAATCAACATATATGTATGTACTAATCAATAGTTTCCATGCCATATCTGTAAAGGAACAGTTTTTTGTTGAAATTAAATAAAGAACTTAACATCAGATTATCAAATAGGATTTCAGCGCCATTAATTTCTGTTTGTTAATTAGTAGCTAAAATAATTTATTTACATATATGGCTATATATCACATATTCTATATATTTTATTTCAGCTTTTGCCTTAGCCATATGGCTTGATGACAGAAATTTACCTAGACGTTTACGTTTCATGGATTGGTTCTCAAATCAATGTTTATCCAGTCGAGTATCTAACCAACTAACAGTTAACACAAGTGAAGATTTATGAACTAGACAGAACCAATAAACACTACTTATTTTTAAGACTTTTATGATAATGAAACACTCAAAAACCCTGTTTCTTTTTCTGCTTTTATTTATAATAGTTATTTTTAGTGATGATTTTTTTCTTGAAATCATTAGTACGCATAACGCAGCAAATAAACAATTTCAGAATTTTTTTATTTCAATGTACTTTATTCATTTTTGCTGTCTATTTTACTCAAAAATATTCGTATATTCAAATCTGGAAATCTTTTTGGGAGGTAAAAGCACGATCAAAATAAAAATGTTTCGGTAACGAATTTTCTTGCATTTTATGAGTGCTCCATATTATAACCCTGCATATTATGTGTTCAGATCTAAGTACTATATAAACTAAGCTTAGATAGTGATCTTGCGGTGTACGGTACTTAAGTTGACAGATATAAGTAGTATGTAACACCAATCAGAAGTGGAATGCCTACCAGTAGAAGATTGAGAAGATCGAATTAAAGACAAAAAGAATGAAAAAACGATGGAGTTTGTAAGAAACAACTGATGAAGGATGTGCAAATTGATATATTTAATGTATGGTTTTCATATTTTACGAAGACTTTTCGTAATTTTGCCTTAAACAATAATTTGATTATCTCCACCTGAGTTCTCGTACATCACTATCTTAGAACATCATTTTAAGACAAGTAGTAGCCTTAATTTAACTAGAAGCATGTATTCATGTTATAATTTAAAACTATTTCCAACAAATATGTAACACAGTATGAATATTATAGTTGCAGGGTAATAAAGGGAAGCATAAATAAAAGTTCATTTCTTTGTGTACAAGAAACGATCATGATAGTAAGGGCAGTCTAATATTTAATTCTTCCCTAAGAAATGAAATGAAAGGTTAAGGATACAGTTTTCTGAAAAGATATCCTCTAAGTAACTTTGATATGACTAGCCAAAGATGATAATAGGAAGTCAGAGTCTAACCTAAATTATACTGTTTGATGTTCAGATAACCGAAGAAAATTGAAGGTATTGTAGAGCGTTTCAAAGGACGTTGTGAAGTTAAGTCGTTTGAGTCTTCTTACCCTAATTCTGAACAAAACACATTACTTCAATGGATTCACTGAAAAAGTCTATTCCCTAAAATAATATATGCGATTTTCTGTTGAAAAAAGCAGTGGTTTATAATTTTTGGAATATCGGTAGATGAAACTACACTTATACAAAGTGGCTACCTTATGGTTTTTCCAAGAATAACTTTAAATCCATTTAAATGCACACAACGAAAATAGTAGCAAGATACTGTTATAACTTGTCGTTTGAATGCTTATTGTCTTGGCTCTTTTAATGCTACTTTTTATATCTGGTCGTCTCTGATTGTTATGTCGGAAACGCTTATCATATAAACTCGGAACAAGGAACCTCTGCCATTCCCACGACGCGAAAGTAAGAACACAAAGACTGGTATAAGTGAAGATTTATTGACCACCCAAAATATGACGACGATTCTAGTCGAAAATAAACTCACTTAAATATTGATTTTAAACTCAGTTCTGATTAATAATTAGAATGTAATTCACATATAACAAATCACTTACTGAGTATAGTTCATGTCAATGGAATACAAGAATATCGTATATTATTACAGAATAAAATATCATAAGAGAAAAAGAAAAAAACAATTACTACATTGAGTAATCATTATATTGAATCAAAATGGAATTCATGTTGAATAAAACTCATAATAAGTAAATCAATCGAAAATTGACTTTTCTTTCCATCATATCAGATACCAATAAATATTTGTGTGAATTAACCTTCAATCATTTTTCTGTCACCGATAATAGGAGAAATATAAATTTCTAGAATAATTTTAGTATCGTTTTGTTGCCCATTTTGTTGTAAACCTAACTTTATTTGGTAGAATATATGGCTAGATACACACAATTTTACAAATCAGATTAAAAGACAGTATAATTTAAACGACTGCGCGACACTGCTATACAGTAGTTCGATATTTATGCACTCGTTAGATTTCTCAATATTATTAGTATTACGATTAAACTAATTTGTGATAATAATTCAAAGAATTTCAAACGTTTTTATATGTATATTTAAAGTAGCTAGATAGTGTAACAGTTATGCAGTACAGTAAATATCATTTCTGTTTACATGGAATAGTAACTAATGTTTTCAGAAGGGATTGTAAATAAACTACCATGTTTTATATCAACGATCTCTTGCAAATTTTGAAGAAGATTCATGCTTCATCGAACACTTAATTAATACTAATGATTTAAGGATACAGTGAAAAATGTTTTAGCATAAATTAATTTAGGGGACTAAAATCTATTTGTTTTTCTTTCATCAGCCCATCTGGATAGTTATATTTATCGATAATAATAGTTCCCCTACAGATGAACATATATCTTACATTATCTTTTTCTGAAAGTCACCTTTTACATCGTTTAAATAATATAGATCATATTTCTACATCATAAACTTAATAGCCACTGTTTGGTATCGAATGTAATGAAAATTAAAATATGACATCGTGATTTTCTAACTATAAACGGTTAATTTTCAAATGATCATTTCGCTGTCAACAATCCTGTCGAGATTCGTTGCGATGAGATGCTAAATATGTTTGGACTGAGTTAAGAATAAGTATATGGAACATTGATGACTATAAACAAGATAACCTGAAAATATGATCAGTCGGCTCATTCTGTCTACAAATGATCTGTTTTGTAAATCATGATATATATTTTATCATTTCCTACTGAGAAAAAGTGTAAAACATTATAAGCATTCCACTATGTGAAATTTTATATGATGTAGGTTTTGGTAATTTAACAGCACATACAATCAATGTAACACATTGGGAATATAGATAAACGTGTTAATCAAATATTATCTACTCCCATATAGGCTAATACTTTCGTATGTAGAGTCATTTGATGATAGTTTTTACACCAAAACATGAATAGTTTTCTTTCAGTGCAAACTTTTAAATTTGTATGCTATTCTAATGAAATACCTTCAGAAAAATACTGTGCGACCATATATAACATTGAATTAGTTTATTTTTGATATAATGTCAACTGGTATAGAAAAATGGGAACTGATTAATTTCTAAAAATTTCTTACATTCAGTTACGATTATTATTTACTACTGGAATAGTGATAATGTGTACTCAGTATTTGATTTGTATTATTTATGATATAGTCAGCTAATTCTTATATTATTTCTGGCATTCAACATGAACAGCTTGAAACTAATTTACCATTTGATAAGTTAATAAAAAATAAGAAAAAACTATCTGTCTTATGTTGATTTTGTGGTCCAATGACTTTGACCTAATTGTCATTATCCTCTCCAGAATGACATACAATCGACCGCTAAATAAATCTCATTTGTGTTGAACTAAACATGTTGATATTATTTCAAGTCTACAATTAACATAATGTAGACCATGGTTGTCTTTGAGAGAGATAATACAAGGAGTTTGATACAGAAATGTTTGTAGGGAAATAAGATACTCCTTACTAAAAATTTATCAGTTGTATACGTTTTTCTGTTTTTATTTAATATTTTCCATCATAATGAGCTTTTGTTTGCCATGTTCAATATTCATGACTCAAATGAAACTATGTTAAATTAGATTTGTCATTCATCAAGGTTAACTTGTACTATATCGACTGTAATATCCCATTTCGACACCTAATGAGTGAACTTTTTGTCACATATAGCTGACAAAGTACTGTAAATGTTCGTTCTATCTACAGGTGTTAACGTATAGTTAAATGTTGTTCAATAGACTGATTGTACAGGTTTTTAGTCATACTGAATTAGTAAATTGTATAACCGATTAAATCTATTTGAGTATAGATCATTTATAGATTATAATCTAGTAATTAGTCCAACTCATCTCCTTCAGCAGAAAGTTGAGCACACCATATTTTGGACAATCAAAAAAGATAACAAAGGTTATCAGAACTATGTGATCTTTTAGCGCAATACATTTGAAACAATTATATCACATATTCTTGTTAAGGACGTTTATTTGTGAAAAATAAAAGGTCAATTAGACAAATGGGATGTAAGACGAAAAGAAGATAAGAAAGAAAGTAAAGTGAGGAACGATTTGAAACTCACCACGGTGAATATTAGATCAGTATTACTAGGGTAGGTCATGTTTAACTGACCTAAGTAGTCATGTCACTGATCATATGTATATTGAGACTTAGAGTATCCCCTTTATCATTTGATTGTAGCGTTCTAAATAGCGCTTTTGGGATTTCATTCAAACTGCACAGATGATTGGAAAATCTTAATTTGTGAATAAATTTTTTCAATGTTTCCACCATTAAGATTTTAAAAAATTCGTGCATCTTTTAATATTGATTTTAAAACTCTGTTTAAGTTTATGCTTTCCCCGTCCCAATCCAGCTAGCTACTTGATTCACTCTTACAAATACACCGTACTTCTCAAATACCCAGTTATTCTTAGTTACAATTCTAATTGTTTACCCTATCACAATTCTATTGTTCATTTTTCAGTGAGGCTTTTCCATACAAATTCTACATCTCTGGGATGTCAGCTTGATATTATTACAATTGGAGCTATCTATTTGAAGTACTAAATCTGTGAATCTTCTGGTCCCCATCAATGCTTACAATTTTATCACTATCGCTTAATTATTCTTTGTGACTAATTAGAATTTATTTCAATGCTAACTTCTGATACATGCATACGTGTCATAGTATTTGTGAGAGCATTTTAATAGTTGGACGTGTTTGGTTTGTCAAAAAATACTGACTAATAGAGACTACATAATTACTAATATCTGATTTAAGTACTGATTATTTCGTTGTTCGAAATTCTTTATCACCATCTAAAGCGTATTTGTGATAATAACTTACTGAAGTTTCCTTAAAATTATCTGTTAATAAAATAAAGACATATAACAGTTATTTTTATAGTACCAAAGTTTGTTTGTATTGCATTATAAATGAAATTATTATGGTAATGTTTATGGAAACTGTGTTCACTGATCAAGGTAACCAGGTCTCAGTAACTGTGGAGTGTGGTTTCAGTCAATTTCTATAGAAAACTAGTTAGTTGAATAGTGTCGTTAGCATTTTCATACCATAGTGAGCGCTTAGCATAACTGTTTCTATGCACAGTGAGCTTGAATGCTGATAAATTCGTTCTTTCATATGAAATAAATCTTTGAAAAACGCCGTTATTCGCTGGTACTCAATATTTCATCAAGACTGTCACACAAAAGAGGTAATAGTTATGCTTTA